GATGCTGGAGACTTAGTGTCAAAGACAGTCTTGAGTGTACCAGTATGATGCTGAAGACTCAATTGTGAGTAGAGTGTGAGTGTCCAAGCCTGGTGGCATCGAGAGTAGATGTCAGCAGCTGGAGGTGGACCTGGAAGTCTGAGAGTAGATCAGTGGTAATGGAAACTAGTAGCTGTTATAGAAAGGGAGCAGGAGGCTCCAACATTGAGAGCTGAATCATCTGAGAGCAGGAGCAGGAGCAGGAGCCTCCAGTAGACTAGGAGAGTTATTGTGGTACAGGGAAGGCCCTGAAAGAGTAGCAACCTCAATCGCTTCCATGTTGGCCCTTTGGTAAGGTAATGAAAGCCGTAAAGTGGGTCCGGACAAATGATATTGACTGAGACTGAGTCAAGTGCTTTCCACAGCTACTCCCCAGAAGGAATTAGCGGGAGTTAAAGGCGAAGCTCATTGAAACTGCAAATGATGGACTCGACTCGATGTGGGACCTCGTAATGATCTCTTGGGGGAGGACAAGGATATGGGCAAATTGGAGAATCTGGCTCCTCGAGTCTAACCTTGTCAAGGGCTCTGAAGACTTCAGCACTCTCAGAGGAGAATATGTGTAGAGTTTAGTAGAATGAGTGTGCAGAAAAACAATCTCCAAAAAAGGTATAAGGGCATGTCCATATATGCTGCCAAGGCTTCCCAAGTACAATGGCCGTCTAGACAGCTCGGAATAACAAGGAGTGGGCCCTGTGCAGATTCCAAAAGTGTTATAGCTTTCTAAGTCTTTCTTAAGTTAATATATGTAAATGTTTATTTGGGAAATGACCTAAATCCCATGCATTCAAAAATAAAATAAATTTAATAATTTAATGGAGTTTTTAATGAAAGTTCGGGAGGAATGAAAGCAGTCACGCTCAATCGACACAGCTGCTGCAATTCTTACTAATCCTGACGTAAGCAACCGGTCTCCATATATATATACGTCAAACATCACTCTCTCCTCTTCCTCGTTCGTTTTCTGCATGGTTCGTTTTCGCCTAGCTCGAATCCGTGCTCCCTTCTCATGGATCTACAAATCCGCCGCTCATATGAAGAACTTTTCTGCAGCGCAGGAGACTCTCCTACCGCTCTCATCCAGTCCTCCCCCTACTGCTCCCCTTACCTCCGTCTCATCGCCTCCTTCAGCCGGTGTGCTACATTAGCGCCACTCATCTCCCAGCCATTCCTCACAAGATCCAACTCCTCACCGAAGACTGCGTTCCGCCATCGTAGTCCCTCTCTCATTACAAACTCAGCCTTCCTGTTCCTCCTCGGCAAAGTCTCCAAATAACTCTCGCTTCTCTCCAGGATGTCCCCGCTGCCGCGCATCACGCACATCGGCTCCCTCTTCTCCTAGATCATCTCTCGCGATTTCCAACCGGACCGTAGCAAGCCTCTAGAGGATACTTCGAAAACATGCCGTCCATTTTAAAAGAAACGCTTCCAAAAAAGCTCTGTTTTCCCTGTACTTAACCACAGTCTACACAAGGAAACATCAGCTCCACAGCTTCCCCCGGCGCCCTTTGATGACATCACCCGTGCCGCCACCACTCATCCCATCGTGAGGACCCCGAGGCCGCCTGCGCCTCTGCCTGTCGCGTCTTCTGTCTTGTCTTGTCCTGATACATCCGTGTCTGTGTCTCTTCCCCAAGCAATCCATACCTCTGCCGAACAACTGTACCTAGCCTCTTCCACCCAGCCTCCTTCCCTAAACTCCTTGCTGCCGAGTCTAAGGCCCCAGGCTCACTCCCCTCCTCCACCCCCTTCTCTGCTTAATCTAATTTCTGCACTCTCTTCTGTCTCTACCTCCGACGTCCAACATGGCTCAAGCTCCGCCAGCTTGGTGCCTTCGGCCCCGGTTTATTTTCTTTCAGCCCCTGCTGCTGCCTCCACAGCCCAAAGGCCAGCTAGTAAGCGACCCTCAGCTCAGCCAGCAGGCGGCCCTTACCCTCCCCCACCCCCTGGCATCCAAGATGATTCAGCAGCCTCCTCAGTCCATCACGCAGCCTTCGCCCCTGCTTCAATTCCTCCTTAACAGTCTTCAGCTTCCATATCCCAAGCCACCGAGCTTCAGGCCCCAGATCCGTCTAACCCTTCCTACCACAATCTGCTTTCTGCTCTTCTCCCTTCCCCGGTGTCCAACACGGCATCCGTCATTCCATGCCTTCGGCCCTGGATCCCAATCTCCCCTTTGCTAAGGACTTTCCTCTCCTAACAGCCGTTCCTCTCCCAGCTCCTCCTAACACACTAAAGTTTAGTCCTCCTCCCATTCCCTTTTCACTCCGGCAGCAAATTCTATGAGGTGCGGACGTCAATCTAGCTCACCTTCTCTCTTCCTCCACATACAACTCCAATTCTAGAACAGTCGACTGTGGCTCGATTTCTGTTACTCTCAAATCTTCTGACCCTCGCTCTGCTTCAGTCCTTCAGATTTCCGACTTTTGCTTGGCTTTCAGCATTTTCCGCGACATCACGTGCTCCGCCTTTCCCGAACGTCGTCAGGAACTCAAAGATTACATGCACATTGTCCTCGATCTATCTGTCCTTTTCGAGGGCTCCCTGTTCTACGATTACCATAAGCAGTTCTTGGGTGAGGCCGCTGCCTGCCTACTCCAACGGAACCAGCGCACCTACTGGGGAGCCCTCGACATTGAGCTTTACTGCCGCACTTTCCCCGGCGTCCGAGATCTTTCCTGCGACTTCTGTTCCTCTTGGACACATTCAGCAAATCTTTGCCCAGATACCATCCTCAAGCTCAACCCTGACTCCGCCCCTTCTCCCCCACAGCATCTATTCTCCCGCCAGGTCTTCTTCAAACCTTCCCGCTCCAAAGACGTTCGCGGTCGCCCCATCGTGATGATCAGACGCCAACAAATTTCCAACATTCCAACATCTTCAACACCTCTCCCCTTCGTCGCTTCCTTCATTTTTGCAGCTTCTGCGGCGAAGCTCATGCTCACCCTGCCTGCCCCCCCCAGCCCCTTCCACACTCGCTCCACCTTCAGCATTCCCAAACGACTACTGGCTTTTCTGTCTACCACAATCGACATCCCCACTCTTGCTTCTGACTTGCTCCGTCACCCTGACCCCTCTGACGCCCGTCACCCTGACGCCCGTGCACACTTCCTTCTTCCTCCGTCTTTTGCAAAAATTTGCAATCTGCCACCGCTGATCCCCAGTCCATTGGTTCCTTGCTAGCATCCGAAGTCGGGAATGGTTTCAAGATCGTCCCACTTTACTTTCCCCCATTCCCTGTATACCACATCAATCCCATTGGTATAGCAATCCATCTGGGTGCCTGGCTCGCTAAGGCCGACATCTCCAGTGCCGTTAAAGTTATGCCTCCTGACCCAGACTTCTGGCACCTCTTAGGAGTTCATTGGCGGAACAAGTTCTTCGCAGTGGATCCCCTCGAATAACTATAAGCTTCCTTTTCTTGTCCACCTTCTCGACGATTTCCTTAACATAGACTTTCCCCACACCCCACCTGCAAGAGCCTCCTCCACACTTATTTCTGTTTTTAGGAAACTAGGGGTACCCCTTGCCATGGCAAAACAACTGGCCCCTCCCATATAATCCAATTCCTCAGGATCACCCTCAATTCCATCAATTTCTCCGCCTGTCTGCCTCGTGACAAAATCGACAGGATCCAGATGTATATCTCTATCTATTCTTCTGCCAAATTTTGCACAAAGAGGGAACTTCTCTCTCTGCTCGGCCACCTCAATTACGCCATGCATATCATTCCTCAAGGACGGTCTACCTTCTCGACCTCGCCTCTTCTGTTTCCTTTCTTTACCACCACGTAAGCCTTTCAGCCGACTGCAAATCCGAGCTCAAGCTTTGACAGCTTCTCTTGGCCAACTGGAATGGCATATCTCTCTTCTACGATGACCTCCTCTCTGACACCAAGGATATCCAGCTTTTCACAGACGCAGCCCCCTCAGTCGGTTTCGGAGGCTATTACAAAGGCCAATGGTTTGCATCCCTTTGGCCTCCAGAGTTCTCCCCAATCCCTCTCGCCAACCAGTCATCGGCCTCATTAGAAATATTTCCAATTGTTGTTGCTGCTTCTCTTTGGGGCCACAATTGGAAACAAAAATCCATCCTCGTCCATTCGGCCATCTATGCAGTAGTTCATATAATCAACAAAGGAAGGTCTTCATCACAATCTATCATGAAATTCCTCTGCCGCCTTAAATGGATTACTCTCACACATCAATTCATCCTCGTAGCTGCTCACATTCCAGGCCACCTTAATGAGATAGCTGACTCTCTCTCTCGTTTTCAATGTCAGAAATTCAGGAACTTGGCACCAGATGCAAGACTGAACCCGTGCACAGAACCTCCCTATTCGGAACTCACATTCCTCCGAATCATCCTTTCCATCACTATCTCCAGCTGGCCCAGCAAGCTATCCTTTTAAGGGATTGCCCCTCGAACTCTCAATTCTTACTGCACTGCCTGGAAGGGCTTCCAATCCTTCAACCTCTCCGTGAACATAAAATTCCCTTCTTTCGACATTCTCAACGTATCATCCTTTGTTTGCTATTGTAGAAACTCACTCAAGGTACGAGCATCCACCACCAAAGTATACCTGTGCGGTATCCACTTCTTCCATTAACTCCTTTTCGGCACGATCTGTCCATCCCTTATGCACCCTCAAATTACTCTCCTTTCGAACCTACGCGTACCACTTACCTCAGACATCCTTGAATCCTACATCTACGTTTTCAGGTTGGGTTACCACTCACCCTGGGTCGACCACACTCTTGAATCTTTATTCTTGTTAGCCTTCTTCATCTCCTAAGGTGCTCCAAAATTACCGCTGCTTCCACATCCTTTGATCCTTCTTCTCAACCCTGCTTATCTGACATCTCTGTCTTATCTTCCGAGACACTGACCTTCTATCTGAAGAAAAGCAAAACCGATCAACTCGGATCCGCCACTCTCATCTATTATTTCAAACTCTGTTCCTACATAAGCCCTTACGAGCCTCTATCCCATTACGCACATCTTCGCACCTCTGCCGGAGCTTTGCCTACTGCCCCTCTGTTTGTAAATGAGAAGGGTCGTATCGTGATACCCTCCTGAACAATTCTCCGGGCACTCCTTTTAGATCAGGGGCCGCATCCTCCGCCACTCGCTAAGGCATACCCGAGTATATCATCAAGCAACTCGGCCATTGATCCTCCGAGGCTTACCATGCATACATTAAAACTAACCCCGGTATCCTCAAGCAGGCCATTTCTCTCCTTGGTTGAATTGGTCCAATCTTTTGTTTTTTTTTCTGCACTGGTGACTGGGCGTCCCGCTTGGTTCTTTTGGGGGTCCAACGGCCGGGAGGTTGGCCCTCAGCCAAGCGGGTTTACACCAAATCTCCACATCCCAATAAACGATTCTAATTTCTCCCAAGCTTTTGGCTGCTGTCATTCCTTGTGAACAGTACATATTGTATAGGTCAAAACAGGACATTGGTTTTATAAATGAGTTGGGTCGGTTACAAAAGAGTAAAATATTGCTTGAGAGCTTGAGAAAGTAATCTAATTTAATAGCTCTACATACATTTATATAAGAGAAATAGGGCTAGGAAGCTGTACAGTACATAAGGGCATCTAAACTGAATGTAAAGATCTGCCTTCAGGCATAAGGTGATTCAGTTCCTTTCTTTCAGGATCACCTGTACTTTCAGACTGCATTTCATATTTGATTTCTATCGCCAGTACAGGTCACCAGCAACACAGTCTTTTTGACTTTTATATTACTCAGGATTAGCACACCTTGTTGGCTGTGGCTGTACTTAAAGAGTTAGGCTTAAGAATAAAAGAGCTAGTAGGATAAATGTAAGGAAAGAAATAAACAACGGTAATTAAACATTTCAGTCATGGAAAAACAGATATTAAAATATACTTACCTTGATTATTTTTTAAGGTTCAGATTAGTAACTGTTAAAATCAGCTTAATTAGTCACTCCTGAATTTTGAGTACCTGAATACACAGAGATGTTACACACAAGGGATGGGGGGGCACAGGGAAAGACACAGCATAGGAAAAAAATAATCTAAATTGTTTTTAAATTGTATTACGTTGTAAGGAATATGCTGAATATGTAAGCTAGTTTATAGTGATACCAGTCACACATAAAAACTGAGGGTGTCTTTGCTTCATACCGGATAATACTTCTGGAATCTAGCTATTTGAAACAAAGTATTACTTTTTTAGTACAACTGTACCTTGTTAATGATAGAACATAGAACATAGAATAAAACATAGAACATGAAGACATAATTAGATACAGTATACTGTATGAATAAGAGATGGACTGTACTGTAGGGCTAGGAGGCTGTACCAAAATCTCAATATATAGAAGTGCCTTTGCACTTGTTCACACTTCACATATTGATGAAGTTAATCTACACTTGCAGACTGCACTTCATCTTTGATTTCTATTCACAGGTCCTTTCGACTTTTATATTACTCAGGCTTAGCACATACTATTGACTGTACATTATGTATAAGGGGACAAGAATTAAAAAGTTAATAAGAAAATAATAAAAGCAGAGTGTACGATGAATGCAACGGTTATTATACTATGATAATCAAACATTTCAGGCTTGAAAAGAGAGAAAGATACCAACAAATACTTACCCTGATTTTTTAGCTTCAAATTGGTAGCAGAGTAAAAAGCTACTTTATTAGTCAGTCCTGAATTACTTGTACCTGAAAACACAGCGGAGTTACACACAAGGGGGAAGTAGAAGAACATAGGTACAGAAGATATAAAAGGCAACTTATGAAAACATAATTTAATGCATTTCAAATGGTATTTCTTTGTGAGATGTTTACTGGACACAGTGAACATTAAGTATATTACTGAATGATATACTGTGTGTTATTGTATTGACAAAATATTGAATATAATTACATATATACAGTATACATGTCCTGTATAAGTGAGTAGTATTAGGATTGTGTAGGAGAGTTCTCACAATTAGAACTGTCATACTGGAAATTACAGTATACCAATGTTATATACTATGCAATTTTCAAATAGGTTTCATAATAGTGAATCACTAACCAACGATTTACACTTTAATTACTATAACTAAAACACATGGAAGCATAGATAAACCCTGTAATAAATTCACACAATACGACTTTTTGAAAATCATAAATTTTTCCACACAAAGACATAAAATATCTAGGGATGTGATTTTGCATAATTTGGTTTACAAACAACAGCAGAATGTTTAGACTTACTGTGGCTTTCAGTGAGAGGGTCAATGCTTTCATAAAATCCATCAGACTCAGCTAATTTACCTGGTAAAGAGAAAGATTTATGGGTATCTCTTTTTTTGCCAATTATCTCCCACTTGGACTTTTATTTAAAGTGAATCTCACTTTAAATAAAGAATATCAGAAAGCGAGTCTTCACTAGATCCCATTTTAATGACAAGCATTCAAGTACTCTTAAACATTATTTGCCTTTTCTCACATTATGACAGTAAATTCTTTCCATATGCACTGAAGTGTTACTCAGATGTAAATGTCTTTAATGTATCCTTAATGCTATGCACTCTATCCCTTTCCCTGCAGTAGAAGAAGAAATACATCTATAGCAGGGTTCTACAACCCTGATCCTGAAGAACCCTAACCTAGCAATCTATCAATTCAATTAAATAATCTATCAATTAGCAATTAAATAATGTAGAAGTGATCTGGGATTACAATATGTAGCCTTGACCCCTCAAATTGGCTTTATTGAACAGATTAATTGTTTAATTCACCAAAACATTTAAGGAATTCTCGATCTTTTGAAACAGATGATATCTCCAGGATCAGGATTGCAAAGCAAAGAATTTTGCCAAATCCCTGGCAACTAAAAAGTTATTTTAGCTTGTAGATTTGCAGCTGCTCATCAACAGCCTCATTACCATGATAACAGACTTTTCAGCCACGCCTGGTCAGTAACTGTCAGGTTTGCATCAGTTCTGTGAATTTTGCGGAGATGCAGCTGGGTTTCTTTCTATGGACCCATTGTACCTGTCTCTGAGGAGATGACTCTACTTTTAGTCCTTCTGTGTCACGCCCGACATCCCTCCCTAGAGGGCGCTCCACTGCTCCCATTATTTTTCGTGTGATTAAGCTCTCCAGGTGTACCCTGTTAGCGTTATTATTTAAAGATCAGCTCCTCCAGTCCTCGGGGCTCATCATTAGGGTAAAATGTCGCGAGGCCTGTCTAGCACCAGGAAACCCTACGTCCGTCTCCTGAGGGCATAGGCCTCATCCCCGACACCTCCCACTTCCTGAGCCTGGGGTCTGGAGGATCTCGCCCCATCACCCTTGGACCTCCATGTTTTGTTTGTCCGTGTGCTCCCCCCTCCTGGGGATTTTAACTTTGTCGCGTCCCAGGATTGATTCCTTGTTGATGGACTCTTGGACTGTGCTTTGACCTGGCCTTGGACCCGTTTGGATTTGGATACCATTTTGTCTTCCCCGTACACTGTCTCACGGACTGTCACCATTAGTTTGTGCACTAAACCCTTGTGTGTTTCCTTTTACCACGCCTCCTGTTTTCTCCAGCTCTTACCACATCGCATAGGGTCTTTTATAAGATCTGACACGGATTTCAGTCTGTGTTCGTGACATTCTGTGCCTTTTATTTCAACTATAACTTTTTTGTCTCCTATAGACAAATAACCTAGCACTCTTATTACACATAATCTGCTCTGGGACTATTTAAGTTTTTCCCTTCAAGAGAAAATTCTCAGCTACTTCCTGAGGTTAGGATACTGTGTGTTGTAACTAATACAGCTGTGATGATTTCTTATTAACCCCATTTGCTGTACCTGAGCATTTACTCTTTAAGATCCCTGAATTGTCACAGATTCCTGTATCAAGATCTCTTACCTGTACCTTCTTGGTGTCCTTCGATCCTACCACTATCTCAGCTCCCCGCTGAAACTAGGGCATTAATTCTACTTAATTAACACATAAAGGGAGTTCTCCCGTTTTACCCTCTCGGGGAACCCAAGGACTTATCCCCTGCCTGACCCTCATGAGATGGGTGACTTCCTCGTTGGATCATAAACAGCTATCTCCTGCATATGTTGTACTGTGTAGTATTTGATGGAAAACTTGTGTCTTGTTAAACATTTATTTAAGAAAGCTGACTAATGAACTTCAACTGCAGCAGAATGTTGTGCTCTGTTCGTTGACTTACTCATGCAAATATGTGTACTTAACCGACATACCCACATTTGCCTAATTCATCTATTATCCTTATGACAATGATTTATGTCCTTACTGTATGTCTTGATTAACTCTTTTATATACAGTACTGTATCTCTAGACTCTTCAGCCATGTAAAGTCTCCTCAAAACTATCGCAGCCTTATTACAAGTTTAATTTCAATGAAGATGTTGCATCAGATTTCACAATATACTTTTTGTTATCCTGAAATCTTCACCTGAAATGTGTGAAAAATCAAGATACATTCTTGCTTGTCTTGTTTTGTTTACCAATACCATGCTTACCTTACCATGCTTTGTTTATTGACTTACTCTGATTTTGGAACACATTGCTTAGTAATCGCTGTTTTAAATTAAACCATATGTATTATTTGAAAAAATAATTGATTCAAGCATTTTACACTTATGGGACTGTGTTTCTAAATTTATGTGACAGATTTGTGTAGCCATATGGTAATTACCAAAACATAAAGCCTCATGAAAAAGAATGTGAGGAATTTTGTGGAGATCATACTTTTGTCTGCTATTGGATGTTTTACTCATTTCATAATTGTCAATGTCAAGGTTCCAACAGATCCTGGAAAGTAAGACTACTGGGCTTGTTCAAAATACATAGACTTAATTGGAGAATCAAAATTGGTTTATTTATTTTTAATTTAAAAATTTAAATTGTTACTGATTAGAGTCAGGAATGGTTCGTATTTTGTAAATGTAAATCTTCCATTTTTATTTATATTTTTCTTGCAGATTAACATTGAGACTGTTACAGTTTTAAATCGGCGTCATACTATATGACTTGACACAACTTCTAGTTGGAGAGCATGTCAAATTTAACAACTGCAGTTACTTAATCTCGCTGCCTTATCTGTCCTAGAGGGTGTCAAATTATACGACTAGGGATTACCAGGGGTTACTAATTACATGATTCCCTTACAACTTTTCATCATGGTTCCAAATCTCATATTGTACCGCTAAAGTACCACAAGGTCATCTCATTTTGGCAGCCACTCAACGTGAAGCAGACCAAAATAAGAAGAGGAGCACCACACGAAACTAAACAACATCGAGACCAAGCATGTATTGAATGGAGCAACATACAGGCAAATCTTAGAGAAAACTCTGTTTAAGTTCTCTAAAAACCTAAACTAATTCAGGAATTTATCTTTCAGCAGGACAATGATCTAAATCAAGGCTACTCTGGATTAGCTAACAAGAAGAAGTAAAATGTATTTGGTTGGACCAGTAAAGGTATTGACTTGAATCTGATTGAAAAATATCCTGAATTTGATACTACTATGTGAATATCCCAAAGACATTCTCACCCAGTTTCTGAGATCTCCTGCAAAGCACAACCACGATTATGAGGAGGATAAGGAGAATAAGAAAACCAGAAATGCCCATGACACATATCCACTTGTGTACTGCGGGAACAGAGAAGAAATAATAATTATCTACAATCCTCAACCAAGAACGGTTTGACAATTGCTCCATCCTGGTGTGAGAAGTTGACAAAGACTAATTACTGTTCTAAAGTACTTCCACCAAATACTGACTCTATACTGTTTTATGTTTTGTGTTTCTTTGTGATTTTTCACATTGTGAAATTGTCTATTTACAAAAATGTCTATATACTGTATCATTTGTAATTCAATAAAATGTCATTTGGAAGTAGGTGAATATGTTTGCAAGGCCCTGTACATTTTCCAGTCATACACCTACAGTATGTGGTTAATCATAGTCCAACCTTCAGATGAACTTTCAGATCAATACTCAAGGAATTCCCCTTTTGTCTGTCCCATCATGTACATTAGAATTACAGTGCCTTGCAAAAATATTCACCCACCTTGGACATTTTCACATTTTATTGTTACAGCATGGAACCCTGATGTATTTAACTGAAAATGTTTGCCACTCATCAACAAAAAGTACTCACTAATGTCAAAGTGAAAAAAATCCAAACATTTTACTAAATTAATTGAAAATAAAAAACAGAAAATCTTCTCCAAGTCACATAATTACTTGACTGGAGTCCACCTGTGTGCAGTTAAGGTGTTTCATATTATTTTAGAATAAATACACCTGTGTTTGGGAGCTTCTCCACTTAGATAGTGCATTTACAAGGAAGCACTACACCATGAAGACTAAGAAACATTCCAAGCAGATATGAGACAATTGAAAAATACCAGTCAGTACAAGATATAAGAACATTTCCAAGGCACTGAATATACCTTGAAGCACAGTGAAGTCCATCATTAAAAATGTGAGAAAATATGGAACAACTGTGAATCTGCCCAGAACTGGTTGTCCTCCAAACATTAGTGTCCAGACATCATCCCAGGATCTCCATGTTTTTCGTGTGTTCGTGTTTTCCCCCTTCCCGGGGATTTTAACCTTGTCGCGTGCCAGGATGGATCTACTGTTAATGGACTCAAAGACTGTGCGCTGACCTGCCTTGGACCTGCTCCGATATGGATGCCTCTCTTTGTTTCCCTGTTCACTGTCTCACAAACTATCACTGTTACTTTACTGCATCATTAAACCCCTGTGTTCCCCTTCCCATACTCCGCCTCTTGTCTCCTTTAGCTCTTACCGATTCGCATAGGGTCTAATATAACACCAGACACGAACTACAGAGCCTTTTGTAACAGCTACCCACCATGCTGCATACTGTAGGTTGTGCTTACAGTACGTTTTATTGTTATAATGTGTCTAAAAACACCAGTGCTATTGACTTGCTGCTTCTATAATATTCTGTAAACATTCTTACATTTCTCATGGACATTATTTAGAAAGTTGTTATAAAATAAAAATTACAACTGAAATAGAACTGGAAAAGACTGATGTAACTCACAGATGTCTTGTGGTACAAACGAATCACTGGTAACAGAGTAAAAAGGCTCTGTGATCCTTTCTCCTCTGCAAGTATAGGCACTTTTGTACAATTCATTGTCAGATATAACTGTGTATCTGTCTCCATTTCTACTGCTCAGATCACTCATACTTCCATCTCTGTACCATGTGTAGTTCCACTCAATAGAGCTGGCCTGAACCTCACACCTCAGTACCATATTGTTTGTACTGAAAATCTTTGTCCATGCAGTCTCCAGGGTGATGACAGCCTGAGGTCGAGCCTCAACTATAAAAACATGACAAATGCAAAAACAGAAAAAAATATCTAAGTTAAAAATGTCTAATGTATAATGAAATTCTTTATTTGCTGCTTTACTGAGCTGAAATCAAGATTTAAAAGATGTAGTTTAGTAGAATACCTGTTATATTTAATGTAAGAGTATCACTTCTTTGAGAATGAAAGTGCACAGTCCCCCTTCTGGCTTGACACCTGTACTCTCCACTGTTGGATACAACAGCAGAATCAATGGTGTAATTAGAGCCAACAGTCCTGTTGCTCTCAGTGTTGTTCTGAACTGGTTCTTTGTACCAGAGGTACTCCCATCCAGTAGACGTTTCCACAAACCCACAGCTGAGTGCAACTCTGTCTCCTGTGTATATCTTTCCAATGGGCAGGTCCTGGGTCAGGTTTGGCTTTGGCTTTATTTCTGAAAAAATAAGGTAAATCAGGTGACAACTCTAAATCAATGTTATTAATTTCAGTTTAAGTATCCTTCACAGGAGCAACTACAGTATCTGCTAATTTATCCTTAAAATAATAAAATCCAAGTTATATTCCACAATGAACTCCATGTCTTCACGTCTACCCACATTAATGTCTATGACCTAAATGTTTCAAATTTCAATGGAGATTATATGAGTAAAATACAAAAATAAATGTGCTTTACAGAATGTTTAAGGCCCTAAAATACAGAGATAGGAGTGTACTGATTTAAGGTAGAGGTGATACAAGATATAACAATAGACCTTAAGGAGACAAAAAAATATTGTGTCAAATTATTATATTCCAGTGCCACAACAACATAATAAATATAAAGGCAGAGTTTATAAGATGAGAGAGGATTGAAAATGGAAAATGATAAAGTAAGCATGCTAAATAAATATTTCACACAGGTTTTTATCATAGAAAATGTCAATAACATGCCTATGCTATAGAAATGTTTTAGTGGTATTACAAATTTTAACATAATTGACATTTAGTTTCTGTATGTGGATAAGGAAGCTAAAAACCAACACCTAATGGTATTTGTTCAGTAATACATAAGGAAATAAGTTATTAATCTAACATCCTTTGGTTCAGATACTTCAACTCTCTCACTTAATAGGAGTAGCATCTACAGATGTGGGATTTTATGGACAAATTCCTAGTGATCTATCTCAATTACATTCTCATATTCTCTCATGGTCTTCTTGAACACATCCATCATGTCCGACTCATCCTCTTTCAGCTTCTTGATAACCATCTAGAAACGTGAAATTCATCAGAGAGAAGTAATAAGACACATCATCTTTTCCTCTGGGCTCAAAATGGATCCGGAGAATGTGGCCGCTGCTTTTTTCACCTCACTATGGAATTACATTTTTCATTGTGTTTTTCTATTGCACTCCTGGCAGTGCTAGAGAGCCTACTTATGATGTTTATAGAGGTTTTTGTTTATCTATGTTTATAGAGGTTTTGTTTATCTGTTGTAAATTTATAACTGATTGACAAGAGGCCTTGTGATCTTCAATTTATTGGCAGAAAAAAACAGAACAGCTAAGAACCCTACTTGTCTAAAACACTCCCTAAAAAGTCACTGAGTTAGAATTTGTTGAATGACAGCTATTTCTACTTATTGCATTGACTTTTTCCATAGGCTCTGGTTAAGGTTTATTCCATGCTGAAAGGCAAAGAAAAGAGACACAACATTTCAGCCGTGTTCATACCTGAAGATGGCTCCACAGCAAAAATGTTATGTCTCATTTATTTTCCTTTCAGCACGGAATAAACCTTTACCTTTTCCTTTGCAGCCTACACATGCTGATGCAGCTACCTACTTGAACATCTTTTTCCGAAGCCTGGATAGATTGAAAACATATGGGGTTCTTCGGCAGTCATTTCTTTTTTTGTTTACTATATTTTCCAAATGGCTTTACTCCATAAAGTTTTAATATAAAAAAGTCGCTGTTGTCAAGGTAAGGGACAAAGGATTTTTATATATTTTGGCAAATTTTTGCTTTCACAATTACATTGTGTTGGAGAATTCATAATTACTGATGGACTTTGGAGCTTCCCTAAACCGAAATACTACATAAATGCAGATGCGGTACCACAACAATATTTTTTAAAAAGAGCCACATGCTGTGCTGTATGCTTGGTGCAATGTGCTGCATTAACCCTTTATTTCACAATTATTTCTTTTATTTGATATTTGACATCTCTGGGGATCAATGGCTTTAAAATGTTCAACAAAGATGTGCTTTTTGATAGAATCTTATCAGATGCATCAAATATTTTCTTAGAAATACATTTAATCATATGTTCATTAAATTTTATATATATATTATTATATAAATAAATTAACTGCATGATTAAACTGCCACTAATATTAATTCTGCTTTAGTTAACTAAAAGTAAGAATAATTATACTCAAAATTTAGGCAACAAGACTAAATTTAAAGTTGGTGACTAGAAAGTGACTATGACAAATAGACGTTTCGGTTGACTTGGCTAAGACTATGCCTAAATCAAAAACTTGTGACTAAAATAACACTGTGCATCGTGCAAATTACCCTATTTACAAACAAGGCATTTCACAGTCCAACCTCCTGACAACCAGAATAACCCAGACTGCTAACTCAGTTCTCAGAAAACCTACAATATGACAAATAGGCCAACAAAATAAATATAACTGCATTCTAAATCACACAAAATACAACCCAGTGCTAAATCCCTCTTCCTCTCTAAGTGGAATCAGATCCTATCTATCTATTCTAAAAAAGGCACTACTAACATGAAAAAACTGTCTTAAACCTGGAGATTCTTTATAAAGGTAATCGAAGCATCATTAAATAAAAGACAAAAAGTTTCCAACACTTAGCTAGAATTTGGACTAGACTAGAATCTGGACTAGATAGTTTAAACACTATTTAAACACCATAGGCCAAGCTGCCTAAACGTTAATTTCTGAATCTCTTTTAATGTCATACTAGAAACTATTTTGTAATGAACAAATGAAACGTATAATGCTGACAACAACACTTCAGACAGAAAGTGCACAATGGGGATATTATAAATATTTCTACCAGCAAAATCAAAACACAACACCACACACTATGTGTCACAGACACAATCCTAATCTTTTCAGCAGTGTGTTTTGTACCCAGAACCAAAAGTATAAAGGAAATCTTTTTTGTTGGCATATAGATCCAGCCATTCAGAATGCACACCGGATAATAATAAATAATATTATACAAAAACATTGTATGAATCTTTCTTAATAATAAAATCTATTTTAGCACTTCCAAAAAGCTGTTGTCTCTTAAAATTAAATATCATTAGAAGCTAAGGTACTATTCTATATATGAACATGGATTGAAAACTGTTTAATGAACAGGAAGCATTGCATCATCCTGAGTGGCAAAAGGTCTCGTTGGGCAGATGTAAGCATTGGTGTACATTACAGTATTTTATTTTTCTAAGTTAGAAAAATGGGAACAATGATTCTTAATTTTAAGATATTTTCAAATAAAGGCAGCATAAATGTGCTCATTTTGTCAATCTAGTGCAAAGGAGACTGAGACAACATTTGATTCAAGTATATAATATCCAAAAGAGTATAAGAAGGCTAACTTAGGTAACTAGAGGGATTACCTTGGAACTTAAAATGGAATTCACATACTGTAGGATAGAGAATAAGAAACATTGCACATTCAGTGCACAAAGAGTTGACTAGATCTGAACCAGGGTTATTGGGCAGGTACTGTAGCTGAAAGTCTGGTCACATTTAGGGAAAATGTTTTTTCCTCACTTAACTTCTAAAAAAGTAGAAGAATAAGATGACCTGAAAAGATTCCTTTAGCTTTTATTTATTCGTGTCACAATGCTCTGATAAAAAAAAATAGTAAGATAAGGCTGATTGATATCCTATTCTTTATTATCTTTTGTATATTCTCATGTCCCCATACAAATATCAAGATTCGAGAAAGTTAAGCAAGTGCTGAAAAGCTGAAAAGTCTGAAAAGCTCAATATCACCTTTGTTGATAGTAAAAAGGTCAAAGTTAAATTAAGTTATATTACAGAATACTTACCAGACACCTTCAGTGTGACAGAATTGCTATTGTTGAAAAAAAAGGAATTCTTATTACTTTTTACTTTACAGATATATTCCCCACTGTGTGACTGCTCAGCAGAGAGGATTGTGTATGTGTCTTCATTTCCCCTACTGGAGGCAGTCTTGTCTATAGGTAACTCTTGTCCGTTTCTGTACCATGTATAGATCCACTCAGTAGAGTCCCCCTGAATCTCACACCTCAGAGTCACTCTTTCTGTGATGAATATTTCTGTCCATCCTGACTCCAAGGTGAGTACCGCTTTTGCTCGGGCTGCATAAAATATTAAATAGATTGGTAGAAAATGTCATTTAAAAGCATGAGTTGTGGTGTTGTATTTACAAAAACAAATAAAGACATTGTTGAAATCATTTTTTATGAATTGTACATCTTACCTCTGATTTCTAATTTCAGAGAGTCACTGTGCAGAGAGTAAAAGTTCACTTCTCCCCTTAAAGCTTGACACCAGTACTCTCCACTGTCGGACAGAGCAGCAGAGCTGATTTTGAAACATGACCCATCAGTGCTCACACTGTGAGTGTCAGATAATGCCTGTGTGTCTTTATGCCAGAGATACTTCCAGCCAGTAGAATGTCCTCCAAATCCACATCTCAGGGTGACCGTATCTTCTGTGTATATCAGCTCACTGGGAGGATCTTGTAATATATTGGGCTTTGGCAGTATTTCTAGTAGACAAATATATCATAATTGGAATATGAGCTGCAATCATGTGTTTGGACAAAAGTGATCTCAAAGTAGATTGCTTTTCTAAGAGCACCTGTAGATTCTTGCATCTTGGCCAGAAACTTTAAAAAGAGTGCCCCAGCATGATGACTGCTGACACCATGTAGGAGGTAATACACCCAGTGCCTCTGTCCATAAAATTAGCTCTGTAGCGACTGATGGCACATTTCTGTCCATGTTGGTTTGTTTCATTACTTTTTTCATATCTTTTGATTATTACAATGTTTGATTGTCTGATGCTTGTACAGTGAAGGATCTACAGGTTTAGGATGATCAGGATGAAGATATGATGAAACTCATTAAGGTAATTACTTTGCTGTTACTGTTTTCTGTGGACTACCTGGCTCTCATTATTAATGGCTGGAATGTGCTGTATGATGGCAGCATTAGTTTGAAATATAGTAGTGAATTCCTCTGAATGTGAAAGTGTAATCTGTTTCTATCCTTAAATATTTTAAATTGTCAAATTTCCTCAAGAGATTTGGAGTTTTACACAGAATATGAATTTTAACAATGTTTGTTTGAATACATCATATGTGGGAATACCATATGAAACCATTTTTGATGCTGGATGCTGCATCCCCCGGTGCTAATACATTTATTTTGGGAACTCTTAACATTTGCGCACTTAAACATAGACTTTGTACATATTATCAATATGTGATCTGCTTACCGTGGATGAACAGAATTATTGATTTTGCTGTATGACAATTCCAAATGCCTACTCATCCCTTGCAAGACCTCCACTGGGCAACTTCAATCACAACACATTACATCTTAGGCCAATCTTTCAGCCAACGCAATCAGGGCAGCAGAGAGAATTGCGCGGACTGTTCAATACTGCAAAACAACTTCCCCGATGCTCCTTACTTCATCATGAGAGATTTCAACCACTGCTCACTTACCAATTTCCATCAATATGTTACCTGCCCTACAAGGCATAATAGGGTATTGGACCTGTGTTACAGATTAGTTAAAGGAGCTTACATATCCGCTGTCAAAGCACCATCGGGATTGTCTGATCACAACGCTGTGCATTTGATTCCGATCTATAAAACAGCCGTGAAGAGAGGTAAAAGCGAACGAAGAGCGGTTCCGGTCTAGCCCGAGGACTCCAGACAGCGACTGCAGGATTGCTGCGAGCGCACAAACTGGGACATGTTTAAGCACTCATGGCCTGATCTCGATGAACTGACGGATGCAATCACCAGTTATGTTTCTTTTTTTTTAAATACTGTTATACCTCTGAAATCTTGCAACATATATCCTAAGAATAAGCCCTGGGTGACCAAGTCTCTCAAGTCAGCTCTTGATCTGAAAAAAATCATTTTCCATCAAAGTGATGCTGTTCTGTTTAAGGAAACACAAAAGAGAGGTTAAGAAGGCTAAACGTAGGCATAAGGAGGCATAAAGTGGAGGAGGCAATGATGTGCCGGGGTATCTCATGCTCTGCATTGGAGGGTATTAGGTCTATGGTGGGAATGCACAAGAATGGAAGCAGCAGTATTAATATTTCTGGTAAATCAGACGCTGACATTGCCAGTGATGTGAATTAATTTTGTCTTCGGTTTGACGAAAATGATTTTTCTGATGAAATTAGTGCGTTCAGAGGTATGATCTCTGATTGTCCAATTAGAATTGATGAGTCTAAGGTCAGTCAGATTAAGGAGAGGAAGATTTCAGGTCCTGGTTCGGTTGGGGGAAGAGTATTGAAAAGATGTGCAAGACCGAGAAACCGTGTTCTAATGCCGTAAAGCTGAAACCAGTCCAAAAGTTCAAAACTGAAGGATAAAAACCAGAGTAAGAACCAAAATACAAAACAAAGTTATAAACAAGGGAGCCAGAAAGTCAAAGAGCCCGTATATCAATAAAGCAAAAAAAAAAAATCAGAACAGCAAGCAGAAAACCTAAATCCAAGAATCAAGGTCCAAGGTGAAGGGCAATCCGGAACCCAGGAGAAACGAGACAAAACGAGGATAAGCGCCGAGTACTTGGAGAGAAATTCCAAAAATACTGAGCAAAGGGATAATGACTAAGACTTCCTAAAATAGAGAAAGACAGAGACTGTGAGGAATAAACGAGACAGGTGAGTGGTCTGGTATTTTGGAAAGGTCTATGCCTTCTAAAAGGGGCTGTATGAGAAACTAGTAACATAAAAATATCTCCCAGTTCACTCAATGATTACAGACCAGTAGTCCTGACCTCTCCGGTTATGAAAAGTTTTGATCAGATTGTGAAAAATGAAATTGTGGCCAAAGTAAAGGATCAGCTAGATCTATTACAATTCACTTACAGGGCAGGTAGGGGGCTGGAAGATGCTATAGCATGCCTTCCAACAACTTGATGGAAAAAAGACCCATGCTAGACTGCTGTTTGTGAATTTCTCCTCGACATTTAATTGTAAACAGCTTCACCTACTGGCAAATAAGCTATTGTCAAACTTTGGTCTTCAATCTTGTCAGCGGGGTTACTGATTTCCTAACAGACAGAACTCAGAGGGTGAGAGACAATCATGTTTTATCCAACAAAAAGCATTCCTCTATTGGATCCCCCCAAATATGTGTATTATCACCCTTACTCTTTGTGCTATAGACAAACGATGGCTAGAGCTATCACCACTCAAGAAACATACTCAAACTTGCAGACAACTCTGTCATTGTTAGCCTGTTACGAGCAAATGAGCAGGTTTGCCACCTGGTATGAACAAAACTTCCTCAAGCTAAGACCAAAGACATGATAACTGACTTCAGGAAAAACACCCACACTTCCATCCTAACCCATGTCGTGGGAGTTTCGGTGGAGCTAGTAGAAGAATACAAGTACTTGGACTGTTCTGGACTCCAAGCTTAATTTCGAAGCAAATACTGACCTGATCCCCAGAAAAGGTCAACAGCGTCTGTTTTTCTTAAGGAAGCTTAAGTATTTTAAGTTCAATGATTCATTGTTGATTTTGTTCTATCAGTCCTTGCTTGTATCTGTTCTAACTTTTACCCTGCTCTGCTGGTTTGACAACCTGAATCTGAGAAGCAAGAACAAACTGGAAAGCCTTGTGAAAGTATGTCAGAAGGTCACTGGTGCTGATCTTCCACCCCTCTCCTCCATCTATCAGTCACATGTTTTGCATAAAGCAAAATCCATTTGTGATGATCCTTCACACCCCTTGTTTAATAATTTCCACTTCTAACTCCCATCAGAGAGCAGATACCAACTCCCCACCTCCAAAACCAACAAATTTACGTTCTCATTCATACCTGCAGCCATGTCGTCATTTAACACTTGACCTTCTATGCAAATATGTACAGTAAGTAAATTGGTTTTCCTGTAGTTTTTTCTGTCCATCTGTACACCAACACTGCTGCTGTAGAACAACTTGCCCTTCAGGGGGTAATAAAGACACTTTCTCTCTCTAACCAAAAAACTACTTAAAATGAAACTTTTTTCTTAAGGTTTCATAGAGCTCATGAGTGGTCTGCAAAAAGAGGTGAAAAAGAAGATCAGATCAGGAAAGCTAAGGATCAGTACAGGGATGAAACAGGGATGGCGTGGCAGGGTATTAATCCATGGCCAATACTACAGTACACTATATCTCTCAGGTAAAGTTTATGTTAATATGGTACCTGTGTTAAAATGGTATAGATAGGGCAACACTTGACAAATGATTTAAACATGTTTTACACCCATTTTGAATAAAACCTATATCTATTTTAGTTAATAGTGCTGAATTCCTAATGTCCAAAGAGTTTATTAAAATCAACAGCTCAGATTTATGTAGGCAGTTTAGGAGAATTCATGTAAGAAAGAGTGCAGATAATATATGTGGGAGAGTTCTGCAATCGTGTGCAGATCAGTTTACATATTTAGTCTTAAATTCCTAAGATTTATTAGATTAGTCTTCCATGTCATTCAAAGGTGCTAGAAAACTGTCTTTTTATAAGCTGTTGTAAATGTAAGCTCCTGTAGTTGGTGAATCTACCACATTTGCGAGTGGAATCAAGTCAAAAAGCAGTATCAAGGATACATCCTTGCTCAGCAGAATGGAAAAGCTGACAAAATGAAAAAAATGTTTTACCAGATTACCACTTTTCAATTTGGTAAATTCAATGCATAGTGTGGGTCTAGGTCAATCACAGCATACATAAATAGTCCAAAGACAGTCTGCAGGTGTAGGTTTTAGGTCAAATCTGCAAGACAACCTTGCTAAACAGATTTCAAGAGATATGATTTGTGCTTGCCTATTGAGGTACAAGTAGGCAATTAGCTTCCAACAACCTAAATGTGGCAAAAAGAGAAATTTAGGAAATACCACAAAAGGAAAAAAAGTCTTTAGGTCAGGGGTTACCAATCCTTGTCTTAGTGGTCCACTAACTTGCTGTTTTTGTTCCACCTGAATTAGATCATTGAAGCCTTAATTGACCTAAGACATTACTTAGGATATTTGCATTTGGTTTCTAGTCACTCATTTAGTATTTTATTTCTCTTTGAAAATACAATGGTTAAAGCTTCAACATCAATCTTATCAATAGGTCGGTGAAGAGTTTAATTGTGTAACTGAATGCTCAGCTGGAACAGAAACCAACAGGTCTGTGGGTCACCAGGATCAGGACTGGGAACCACTGCTTTAGGAATTAGAAACATATTTCTTGACAGAACAGGGGATTTTACTTAGCCCAGGAAGACTTATGTTACCATATGCTATATTGTTAACATTATCCATATCTGACAGAAATATAAAACTGAAACAAGGAAAAGGAAAGTTCTTTCAAATATAATCCGAAATAAAACGTTTAAAAAAAACGATGACTGAGGATGCTGAGACTTTAAATTATTGAGGTCAGGATCACAGCTAACATGAATTTGTATCAGAAAATACTTACCAGATACATCCAGTGTAACAGCATTACTGGTTTCAGAATAAAGTGAACGTCTACTGTGTTGTCCTCTACAGGTATAGCTCCCCTTATTTGATTGAGATGCAAAAGGGATTGTGTATCTGTTTTCTTTATTGCTGTTGAAATCAGATTTGTCTACAGCAAGCTTCTGTCCATCTCTGTACCAGTCATAGGTCCACTCAGTAGAGTTAATACAACATTTTAGAAAAATTATTTCTCCACTGTAGAATTCTGTCCATGCTGTCTCAAGGCTTAGCACAGGTTTAGGTATAGCTGTGAATATTGAAGGGTTAGAAAAGCTGTGTAAGAGTGAGTATATATTTTAGACAAGACAGATGTTTAGCTTGAAGTTCAGTACACATGGGATTTATATAATGGTAAAACATCCTATAACAGTTCCATGCTCAGCTACTGTAACTTTTCATTTTACGTTATCTTAGTTGCCAGCTGTTATATCATCTTACAAACTCACAACTGACAACCAAGTGAAGCTCAGGCTAGCACCTGGATGGGAGACCTCCTGGAAAAGCTAAAGTTGTTGCTGAAAGAGGTGTCAGCAGGGCTAGTAGGGTGACCCAGTATGGTGATGGGGTCCTGACTCTCCGTGGTTATTAAAAGTCCCAGGGTATTTTTTTAAAAGAGTAGGGGTGTTACCCTGACATCCTGGCCAAATTTTAAAATTATACAAAAGTATAAGGAATTATATGAGAAATGAGAAATGAGAACCTAATTTTTTATAATTAGGTTCTAATTTCTCAATGGAAGGGCTCTAAGAATATGCATTAAAACTGCATAAAATGTGAAACTTATAATGTTGAAATTTTATTTAATACCTTGACATTTCAACTTAAATTGAGATTTGGCTTTTAAACTTAAAATGCAGATTTAGTATTGCTCTAGGGAAAATATATTTAATGGACATGGAGGCAGACGTAAGATTTAGAGCTCCTATACAGTATGTGACTCATTAAATCAATTAGCGCCAATGAGAAGGCAAAGAAGTTATTCATGGATACACTTCAATCAATGGGAAAAAAGGTGAATTAATACTAAGTCATGTTCTAATAAATACATTCTCACTACATAATAGTATGAGATGAGAAAGATTCTGCACATGTAATTACCTATAAATGTTTACTAGCAGGGTATGATTATGGGTCTGCAACTAAAGACCACCACGCAGTTGGCCTCAAGCAATAAATTTGTAAATATACAGTAGGTGTCTCTCAAACAAAAACGAAAATATTTTTTTTATATATATTTCAGGTGATTATCTCCTAAATTATCAAAGTAAATGTAATGTTTTTGAATACAGAAAATGGGTCTGTTGTTAGCCCACACAGTATATTACAAGGCTATGTCAGCCCATTCATACAATAACACATTTTATGAGGAAATATAAATATTTAGCTGTGCACAATCTTTTGGGGGTGTTTTCAAACATTCTTTTTGTAAATATTTGAAGAAGAAACAACTGTCTCTATTTGCTTTCCACAGCTGCATAACTTGCATGAAATTTAAAAGTAAAAATTAGATTTTAACTAGATTTTAATTTTAAAAGTTTTTTTTTTCACAGCCCAGTATTCTGTTCTCCCCTAACCAAAAATACTACAAAAAAAAACATTAAAACAACTTAAAGCAAGATATTTTGGACCTATCACAAACTAGTAAGCTAGGTAATTTCTAATTGCAACAATTAAATCTTCAAACTTTCAAACTGTTGAAATTGAAAAACAAATCATCACCTTTCTGAGCAGAAAAACTGCACACATGAGAAGTTCCAAATATAGCGGCAGCTTAATACCGAAATGGTATTGTCACATCATAATTATTTTACATTTCTTAAAATTCTATATAATACAACTTTTGGACACCTATTGTAAAAATCAGTTAAAATTCAAATATACTGTTTCAATCAGATCTGATAAATACAACTTTTTTCACCCCAGGAGGGCAATTAAGCAGCAAGCGTTGCAACATACAACACATGACAAAAAAAAAAACAATGATAAGAAAAATTACACATAGGTACTGTATAACAGCAAAAAGGAGCTTGCTGTTGATCAGAGTAACCTGCAATTCCTGCATGGTAGAACAACAAAACTGGTTAATCTTTAGTACCGTACTAAATAACAATCAACTGAAGAATTTTATCCTGCAGTTTTTTTTTCATTGCAATTGAGCATGATTCTAGACATGATCCCCAAATTGTACAGTACTAGCTAGCATTCTACATAGCACACAGTTCTGTAATAAACCCACAAGTTAATTGCAATTGATTCAAAGTGACCAATGTCAACCCTATAATTGATAATTATGTTTTTATGAAGAACAAAATTGAGAAAGATGTTATGGCATTTCAAGTTATTTCAGGTTGAAAATAGGGGAACACTGGGGTATAGAAATGCATTCTCTGAACTGCTTTTCTTGGAGAAATTAATTATTGCTTCATTTTTTAATGTAATGGAAAAACATAAAGAAAGTTTTGAATCTGGAGAATGCCATAGAAAACAAAATGAAGAAAATGATAATTCGCTCCCTTTCTTGAGGTGAACTGAATCACAGACAAAATGAAGCAAAGTTAAAAAAACACTTACAAGTCAACTGCAGTGTAACAGCATTGCTAGTTTCAGAGTAAACTGATTTTCTGCTGCGATGACCTCTGCAGGTATAGTTCCCCCTGTCTGACTGAGCAGTAGAGAGGATTGTGTATCTGTTTCCATTGATGCTGTTGGAACTGGCTCTGTCTACAAGAATCTCCTGTCCATCTCTGTACCATTCATAGATCCACTTCGAGCCCAATGGAATGTCACACCTCATAGTCACACTTTCCGTGATAAATACCTCCATCCATTCAAGCTCCAGCGTCAACACAGATTTAGGAGGATCTGCAACCATGAAGAAATTAAATAAATAAAAACAAAATAAAATTTGAAAGGACCAATATAAAAGTCAAAACCTGTATAGAGTTATGTACAGTATGAGCACAAGAACAGTTAAAAACAAAAATGGACCATTCATGTCAACTAGATTGTTTTATTTCTTGATGAAAACCACAGGTGTCTGTTTTAAACAACATGACCTGGCACCTTGTTCTATACTCCCCACACCTTTTTGAAATGCCTACTGTTCTCATTTTTCCATATAGTTTCTATTTGAATTATTGGGTCCTCAGTTAATTCTGAAGACTTCATCAATTCCTTTGTGGATAATGAATACTTTTATATTGTAATTTGCCCCCCAAATGTCTTGAGCTCAGAAATGTATTTTCAGTAGTTGCACATATATAAACTGTTTCCAGAACAGAATCAACTTTCTTGTAACCTGTTGACCACAATTATATTCTAATTCAAAATAATGTACAGTTGTAAGAAAAAGTTTGTGAACCCTTTGGAATCATCTGTATTCTTGCATTAATTGCTGCTTAAGTGTGATATGATCTTCATCTCTGTCATAATAGTTAAACATTATTAATTACATTATCTGATTAAACAAATAACACATGAACATTTGTATTTTTTCTTGTCTATATTAAACACATTGTTTAAATGTGCTGTCCATACTGGAAAAAGTATAGTATGTGAACCTTTAAGATAATGACCTCTATTAAAGGGGGTAATTGGAGTCTTGGACACCTACAGTAATCAATTAGATGACTTTCAGGTGGGTGCTTGAGGTGCCCTGACCATTAAATAACCTATCAAGTTTGATTAGCAACAGAGTCTCTCTTTATAAGACAGATTTGTCGGTGAATCATGCCGTGATTGAAAGAGGTTTCAGAGGACTCCAAAATAAGTGTAGATGCCTATAATCCTGGAAAGGGTTAGAAACAAATTCTCATCAATCCACATCCACAAAATCAGTACCATTGCTAAGCTCCCAAGGAGTGGTCAAAAGCAAAAATCATTGCAAAGGTGAGCTACAGTGCTCAAGGAGGTGACAAAGAACCTTAGGGTAACCTAAGGCTCAGACCTAAGGATCTGTAAGTATTTCTTGCACTGGCTAATGTTAATGAGTCCAGAACAAAAGTGGAACTTTTTGGCATAAATACATAACATTATGTTTGGAGGAAACAAAACACGATACCAACAGGAAAACCTCATCTCAAACGTAAAGCATGTTCCCACTAGAGAACTTGTCCCAAGGAGACACTTAAAGCAAGGTTGTTTGAGTGTAATCACCACTGCATTTAAAACTGTGATGCTTTAAGGCTCTACTAGCTGTGATCATTGGAGTCAATGACATAACAAAAGCATACACTGTGAGGACCTGTAACCCTGTTGCCATGAGACCAGTGATTGTTTTCAAAGTCGGATTGGTATCATGCTATCTTAGTTAACAGCATATTTTGGGAGACTGTGCACACCACAAGACAGCAGTGACCAAAGAAGTAATCTTGGGCGGAGCAGTGGCTCCGTGGATAAGGATCTGTGCCTGTGGCTGGAAGGTTGCCGGTTTAAATCCCACAGCCGCAGGAGGAATCCTACTCTGTTGGGCCCCTGTGCAAGGCCCTTAATCCCAACTGCTCCAGGGGCGCTATACAATGTAAAGGGTTAATAAAGTGATGATGTTATGTTATGTTACAAAGCGCTCCAATCAACTGGGTCTACAGTCCTGCTGCTCCCAGGCTGTGGACCATGTGATACTCCATAATAAAATGAAAAGCACAGAAAAGCTGGAACCACTTATAAAGCTTTTGGTTGCACCATATCCCAGACAGTAGCTTCGTTGTACACCAGGACAGTCAATGGGTGAGCAATGGAGCCAAAACCCACTGAAAATGTAATAAAACAAGTTTTGTACCACAGTACGTTTTGGTGAAAATCACAGTCACCACACATTACATACTGGTACATTACAAACATGGTAGAGATCTGTTAAAAAATAAACAGCCCAACAGTGGGTGATGTGGGAGGCTGGCAGAGTACTCTAATACAGTGCCAGTAACTGCTTATTAGCTTAATGTCTCATAAAATAATTTTGGAAGTGGATTGGAAAGATTTACTGTATCCTTATAAATTGGTGAAAAGCTGATTCCTATACTCAGTCACAGAATAGCTCACAAGTTTCTGTCAAAATACCTTGACATGAAAGAAGCTAAAGAATTTGTTGTTGTTTTTTTTTAACACAGCTCAATGTCATATTGCACATGATTAAAAAGCATACTCATACTACTAGTAGTTTGTATCAATCTGTAATTTTAACTAAAAATGTGACAAATATGGCTCATAATTTACACATCTTAACTTATTCCTGTCATTTGTAAAAAAATATTAATCAAATCTCAACTGAAGAAACATTCCCTATAAGGGATCTATACCCTAACCATGTTTCTCTGATCCAATAATTTATTAGATATTGCACAAAATGCAAATAACTACTAGATTATGTAGTTTTTGTTTATTTAGCAGTATGCCTGTACATATTCTGAATAAACAGATATGGGAAGAATAATAAGCAATCAATGGAACTGGCATAACTTACTAATGAATATTTGCACATACTGTACATCTTTAATAACTTAAGGCATTCATGGTCTCTTTGATTCTGACACACTAACAAAGGGAAAACAGCTGAACTATGTCACCTGTCACTCTTTCATTTAATTCTGTCTTATATTGGTGTATTTTTCTGCCTTATGCTTTATGTTCCTCTTTTATCCTGACCTCTCTCCAGAATAGCTTCCTGTTCCCTACTAACTATTACAATATGCCCTCGGAGGACTCATCATTCCACCTCGCATTCCAGCACGGCTCCAAATTAGCCAATTTTCCACAGCCTATTTAATGCTGCTTCACACACTCTTTTGTGCTCAGTATTAGTGTTTTCCTGACTTGAGCTACTATCTCTTTCTCTGCGACTTACTACTTGGTTATTGGCTTCCTGACCCTGGTTACATCTCCTGGTTGTGGTTTTGGCACTTTACTGGTCACTCTGGTTTTGACTCTCGGCTTTCTCATGGCTAACTGCTTTGCTTCTGGTTTTGTATTTTTGCCCGGCTTGTTTACCTACGGCTTTTGGACCTCGGATTGCTCTCTCGACTATGCGTTTGAATATCATTCAGGTTTTCTGCATAGGGTCCTCACTACTATTTCCTAACTGAATACTGAGCCTTTAACATGGACTCCGCAGAAGGTGATGAGATTCGCGGCATTCCCTCACAACATTCCCACGTGTTGACTCAGCTCCAGGCATCAATCCAGCAGATCACTGCTCACCTAGTGAATATATCAACACAGCCAGCAGCAGTGCCAGTCCCAGCAGCAGCAGCAGCAGAGGCAGCGGCCACAGGCTCTTGGAAGAAATGAAAGACAATCTGTTTCTCTTGACTCTAAAAGGAAAATCCTGCACGGAAGTGATTTCCTTGGTGATCGGATTGGATGACGGGCTTCGTGGTAGAGGACCATGGAGACAAACAGAACCTTCCTGCACCTACTCAACTTCTCACCCTCGCTCCTCTCAGCTCGACCTCCTCCCCCCGGAACCTGTGGAGATCTCTCACTCCCGCCTCACTCTGCAGGGAAGGGAGAAGTGCATACGGGGGAATTGGTGTCTTTCCTGTGGTCTTCTAGGACATTACTGTTTGGACTGTCCCTCACAATGTCCACGGTGCCCCCTGTCTAAACCCAGTACGCAGGTGAGACGCAGTAAACATTTCGATACCTCTTCTAATGCCTTGTCTGTTCATCCTTTCATCTCCTGGGGCTCGTGTTAATTTAACCTTCTCGCTTTCATTAATTCAGGGGCCGCCGGAAATTTCCTAGACCTCTCCTTGGCTCGCTCCTGGAATATTCTCGTACTCCCCATTCAACCTCCTCTTCGTGTGCAGACCCTCGATGGATCCCCTATTTCCCCAGGTGTTATTAGCTGGCAGACCTCACCATTATCTTTACAAGTCTGAGCCCTTCATCAGGAACCTACACAACTCTACCTCCTGGAAACACCACACCACCCTCTGGTCATGGGGTTCCCCTGGTTACAAAAGCATGATCCTCAGATTTCCAGATTCCACTAGTGGTGAGGTGTTAGCTTGGGGTCCTCAGTGTTTGACTTGTTGTCACCGTTCCATTAAACTCTCCCCAGGTAGCTCCTGTGACATTCCTGTTACTGTTACATGTTATGTGATCTATCTGAGGCCTTCAGCGAATAAAGAGCATTGTCCCTGCCTCCCCACAGGTCTTGTGATTGTGCCATCGATCTCCTGCCGGGTGTTTTACCCACAAAGGGGAGAATTTACCCTCTGTCACATGGGGAATCAAAAATCGCTATCCCCTCCCACTCATTCCTTCAGCCTTAGAATCTGTTCGGGGAGCAACAATTTTTCCCAAGCTTGATCTCCAGGGGGGCATACAACCTAATTAGAATATGGGAGGGAGATGATTGGAAGACTGCTTTTCTAACAACTCATGGGCATTATGAGTATCTTGTCATGCCTTTCGGTCTTGCGAATGCACCTGCAGTCTTTATATTTTTCGGGATCTCATGCAGAAATGCTTCCTTATATATCTTGACGATACCTTGATTTTTTCCACTAACCTTTAGGAACATATCTCTCATGGAAGAGAGGTTGTGTCTTGTCTGATTCGTCACAAGCTCTATGTTTAGAAGGAAAAATGCATTTTTCATGTGTCCAAGATCCCATTCCTGGGCTTTATCTTGTTACTGCAAGGGGTCACGATGGACCAAAGCAAGATCTCCGCATTTACGGATTGGCCAACCACGAAGAACCTAAGACAGGTACAACGTTTTCTGGGTTTGCCAACTTTTATAAGAGATGAAGAAAAGTACAAGATGTGAAGAAGGGGTTAACTGATTCCTTTCTGCATGAGGACTGGACTTCTAAGTGACAGGCTAGAGTTATGGCAGGAAAGGGGGATAACTGATGAGGATTCCAGATGCCAGCTAGGAAACCCTCCAGGAAAGGAAACCTAACACGGACCATTAAGAGTGACCAAAGTCTGTGAACTGGCCGAACACCATGACCTTCCCCCATTACCATAATAATGATCTACGTCAGAAGTGGCAGAAAAGGGCTATATACTTTGGTGTTATTGTTCCTTGTGTGAACAATACTTCAGTTTTATTGTTCCTTGCATGCAAAAAAACTCATCTGTTTAACTTCATCTCGGGATCCAGAACTTATTTGTCTGTTACAACAGAGATTTATTCGAAATTTTAGTTCAGTAGTGGCTCCTATTGACTACACCTTTGGTATTACATTCGGGTTTTTTGCATAGGGTCCTCGCTACTATTTCCTTACACTTACAAATAAATTAAGACAGATTTAGGAATTTTATAATAAAGATTTAAAATCACCAAAATACTTTTGATAATCTTACCTAGTTTTAGAAACAGACTACTATTTTGTTAATTATGTCCTACTACTAACAGCACATTAAAAAAATCATTTAATTAGTATTTTCACACCAGTCATCAGGACTATATCTTGAACTATAAATCCATAATTCACTTACATGCATTATCCTACAACAAATAAATACAGTATATGATGTTTTGAAACTAACACCAACTTTGCCAATACACATGAGCATGTACAGGAAATGCCCTGTGATAGTGCTTGCACCTGGACCTACTCTATCTTATCACTTTTAATCCTTCCTTCACTGCCACTTGAAGGCAGTCTTACACTTCTTCACCTGCCACTTCTTTCACTTCACATCATCCTAAAGGCAGACCCCAGTAAGAACTGTCAATTGTCAATGAATTGACTATCAATTTTAATACAGCCTTTGTGTTTGCAGATCAATTTATTTATTTGCAACAGTAAACAAAAATGATTTATTTTCTATTTGTCTAATTACAGTTCCTATGGTGACTACCAATTAATTGCTGAAATAACAGGTCTAAAGTGACACCTTGATGATATTGATTGAACTAAAGCAAAAAGGTGGTGATTGCATTCTATATGGAAGGAAAACTTAACATAGAAGCTTTACTCAAGAACACAATTTTTGCAAAAGCCAGTTCAATTTCCCAGATTTTTAAATATTATAGGGGTATTGCTGTTATTATTATGATTACTAGATCTTGGTTCAATGCCGATCACTTTTAGGAAATCCTGCAAAAAGGAATTTTCTTTAGCTCTGGATAATGAATGTGTTTCACTTTGAGAGAACGCCATCTTTTCAAACCAGACATCCAGCAATTTGGGCCTTCTTCTTGAAGGACAGAATCTGACTGGATATTTTATATATGGAGAGGCATTTTCATAGTATAAGAATGCCTTCAACTTTCTCCTTTCAGGTGACATACTGTACTTTATCATGACAGTGTCCTTCACTGACAGAAACAGGTGGATAAGACTTGGTTGTGTTTAACACATACAGTAATTGCAATTCTTTGTAAATCATAATCTTTGTTTTTTGTCAATTTAAAGTAAATATAGTTTTCTAAATTATTACATGGTCAGTACTCTCAAAACATATTGTGCCAGGTGGCAAAGAAGCTACCTTATGTGGTCATGATTAACATTCTTGTTTTTCTATAACACAAAAAAAAACATTCACTTGTGGACTTGTGGAATGTTTCATTTAACATTTATAAATTTGACTGCTAGAAAGTCAATCGGGATTAAAAGGCAATCAGGATTGACTTTCTCTCTCAAAGTTTATTGATTTATTAATAACACATGAATGATGGATGAAAAAACATTCCATTTGTGATTAAGTACATGTGCAGAAATTAATTACTTAAATACACTGACCAATTATTCAATAACTATTTCACTTACCAGACAGAAGATGAATCTTTGAACAAATTCACAGATTTTTTTTCAGATTATTTTATAGATATTTCTTTCCATAATGGGTTTTCTTTGCTGTTGTTTTTCTATTTTTGTTAGATTTCAATTTAAAGATAGCACAAACACTGTTTTACTGACAAATGTTATAATTAACATGAGTATTTGTATCAGGTACATTGATTAAGCACTCATTTTGTCTGTTACTCACCTGACACTTCCAAAATATGAAACCCAGGATATGTCTGAATTATTGGTTTGCTTCCCCGTTCAGCTTGACACATGTACTGTCCACTATCAGACACTGTTACAGGACTGAGGGTGTAATATTGCTGATCTTCAGCACTTGATCGAAAGAGGTTCTCTAGTCTCCCCTTTGTGTTTCTAGCCCAGGAATATCTCCAGCCACCTGACGCCCCCTTCACCACACAGCTGAGAGTGACTGACTCTCCTGAGAAAACCACTGAATCGGGGTAGTCTATGGTCACTACAGCACTGGCCTTGACATCTGAAACAAATAGAAGAAATGTATAATTTACAAAAAAATATACACTTCCTATATACATAATACAGTAACTCTGTGTAATGCTTTTTTAAAAAAAATAAAACTTACTAGATACTGCCAGAGTGTGAGAGTCACTGTCACTTTGTTCATTTCCTCTCCCAGCTTGACACCAGTATTTTCCCCCATCAGACTCTGACACAGAGCTCAGGATGTACTGGGAACCGTCTTCTCCATTGGAGTCCTTGAGTGGCACTGTTGTCCCCTGTTTTTCTAAGGCCCAGGAATATTTCCAGCCACCAGGTCCACTAGTATGACAGTTGAGGGTGACTGTCTCTCCTGGGAACACCACTGTCCATGGAGGGTCGGCAGTCAGCTTAGTTTTATACCTAGATCCTGTAATACAGACAGTGATCAGCAGATAATAAAAACATCTACTTATCAATATCAATTATTTATTTTCTAACTGATTCTTTTGTTTTATTTCTGAACACATTAAATAAAAAGCACAGTGTGTGAATGCACTTGACATATGCACTCCCTGTTTGCAAGACGGCTTGTCTAAGGTTTACAAAAGAAACAAAAAGAAAAGAAGAAACAAAAGAAAGGAAGAAACACTAGACAAAATAGCAAACTATTTTAGTTTCTCCCTGGTATGTTCCTATTAGCAGCTTTAAAAACAATAGGCCTACAATTGCACAGGCTGTGTACCAACACACAGACCAGGTATACCACAATGATCAATACGAGACTAGAGAATTGTCCTTTTGGTGTAGCTCTCTAAACTCCACCCTTGTGTCCTCTTGATGGACAGGTTAGCATACATTTAAACCAGAGGACCAATAGGCAGGGACAGTGGGAGGTTGATAATCTCTGTGAATGCAGGGAGTTAATTGATCTAAAAAAGGTTTGAGGATTTAAGGTGAAGTACTGTCTAGACCAGCTTTCTGATTTCTGAAGGCCTTTCCAGGTATCTCCCGAGTAACTCAGCACTCTGTCTTTTTTATGTTGTGAAATGCCATTATCTAAGGTTTTTGATTTGGGTATAACCAGATCATTCTGGTAGGAATATTAACTTCACACAATATTCACAAAATATTTAAGTTAGGACATCACCAACTCCGTATCACATTAAAATCCTTAGAAGCATTTTTAAACATACTCCAGTTAGTAGTTTCAAAACTAGACCAGCAGTTAGAAGGCTGACTTTCAGCGTGCTTGCAATGACCAGTGTAATTGTCAGGATTGGGTGTGTTCCTTTTTTTTTTCATTCTCATGTCTACAGTCACCTTTTAATCAAGGCCTCCAAGATAATGCAGTAATTGAAATGGTAGGAGAGTTGGAAATTAAGAAAGATTTAATCACTCTCTGGTTGCACAGACACCAACTAACATCCTAAGATAACAAGTGGTGACAAGTGATTTTGCTTAACCAGGCTTAACTGGACCTTGGACATAATTGAACATTAAGGATGCACAAAAATTTGAGGAGCAAATGGGAGGAGTGGTGACACTGCAGCTAAGAATCTGAGCCAGTGGCTGGAAGGTTGTTGGTTGAAATCTCACGGCTGGAATCCCTACTCTGTGAGCAAGACCCTTAACCCCAACTGCTCCAGGGGTGCTGTATAAATGGCTGACCCTGCACTCTGACCCCAGGCTTTCCTCTCCCTCTCTGTGTCTCAGTGTCTCATGGAGAGCAAGTTGGGGTATGTGAAAAGACAAATTCCTAATTCAAGAAATTGTATTGTATATGGATAATAAATGATCTTATCTTATCAGGCATCATCTTCCTGCCACCTACTGTACTGGACTCAAAGGGCCAGAGCATAAGGGACTACATTCCTTGGGACAGTCAAGATTGGAGGCAACACTTTGGTGATACAGAAGGATTACACAGCTTCATCATTTTCTTCTCTGTGGTGGGAGGAATCATGCCAAGTCACCAAATGGAGCTGTTTGGGAGAATAGCAATTCTGGATTGCTCTTTTTGGTAACTAGGATCCATAGTAACTGAGTAAAGCAAATTTTGGATACTGTGAATACTTTTTGTGTGCTATTTTTTTATTAGATACAGATATATGATAGATATAGGCTCTTCTGGGGGTGCTGCTCATGTGGCAACATATTGTCTTGCCAGTGCAAAACAACATTTTTTCATTTGTTGTTGTTGTTCATTGTTTTTTTATTTGTGATGTTGTCTATTGGCCCTGGAAATCAAAAGTGTTTTCTTTGCTGGCAACATGGTGTGTTTCTATTCGCTATTTTGTTTGGAGAACACAGTAGTATACTAGTTTGCTCTTACCTATCATGAACGGGTAATTCAAAGTCTTCACAGAGCAGGCATGATCTATCCAGATTTCAATATACCTGGTGTATATATGGAAATACAACTTAAAGAAAATACCTCTATTTCTTGCACCAAAGAAATAGGCAGGTTAATTAATTGCTTACACGTATGTAGCACATTTCTGGACATTCCACTCAAAAGTGCTTGTGGACTCCCCTCCACCACCAACAATGTGCAGCATCAACCTGGATGATGCGACGGTAGCCATAGTGCTCACCACACATCAGCTATCAGTGGGGAGGAGAGCAGAGTAATTAAGCCAATTCATAGATGGGGATTTGTAGGAGGCCATGATTAATAAGGGCCAATGGGAAATGTGGCCAGGACGCCAGGGTTACACCCCTACTCTTTCCAAGAAACAGCCTGGGAATTTTTAATGACCACAGAGAGTCCTCGGTTTTATGTCTCATACAAAGGACGGCAGCTTTTTACAGTATAGTGTCCCCATCACTATATTTGGGCATTAGGACCCACACAGACTGCGGCTTGAGCACCCCCTGCTGGCCCCACTAACACCTCTACCAGCTGCAACCTTAGTTTTTCTCAGAATGTCTCCCATCCAGGTACTGACCAGGCTCACATCTGCTTAGCTTCATTGGACTGCCAGTTGTGAGTTGCAGGGTGATATTAAGAGACATTACGACAGTTAGAGCAGGGGGGAACTATTCACCGCTGCTGGCTTTCAGAAAGACTTGAATCATTAAAACCTCTTACTCCCAGGGACACGTTTAGCCAATGTCTGCCTGGAAGGTCCTCCCCCTAAAACATTTGTTATATCTCTGCAGCAGAACATAGCAGGAGCCTGATGCAGGTCTAAAATTGATGCTAACCCCCTTGGCTTTGAGTGTGAACAGTCAAATTTCTTATATTTCTAAATGTGTCCACTCAGCAGACAAACATATGAAAAAAAAACTAAAAAACAGCAGGCAAAAATGTTTTTTTTGGTCTTCAGAGGTCGGATTTTTCAACTATATGCCTGTCAAAGGCCTGGGAATGATTTGAAAACCTTGTTCTAGGTGACTACTAGCTTGGATAAAAATCTGGGACAAATTGATCGATTAGAAAAAAAATTCTACATCATTTTTTGTGAAGACTGGACCTGGAATGAAATTTCACACCTATAATAAAAAAAAATCATAAAAATATTGAAAATAATAAGAATAAAAACCATTGCAATTGCTATAAAAACCTTTAGACACTGCTAGAGAACCTTTATCTGCAGTAATTTAGTGTTACTGAGGCTCGATGAGACCTCACTGTCAGTTGTGGAAACATAGTCCCCTAACTGAACAACTTTCCAGCTGAGGCCAGCAGTACTTTAAGACCTTTCATGTTCTAACAACAATGGAGTCACTGACTCCTCAAACTGACACAACAGACAATCTGACAATTCTCAATCTCATTGTCAGATTCACTCAACTGTGTCTAGCAATTCAAACGATCTCTGCACATTCGCTAATTTCACTTCGGCATTCACCGCTTTTAAGATACCATATTTACCAGGGTATACTTAATCTTGGGTCAGAAGACAATTCTCAGAAATTTCTTCTAGACTGAAGCGCACTTCAGTATACATATACACGGTCGAGTATATATTGACATAAATCATAAAGTGTAAAGAACCTAACAATTAATGAAAGGAAACGTACACAATAAACAAAATTATGTACACCTATTTTTGGGTAGACCTATTCACTGTGTGAGACACTTTATGGAAGCTGCAGCTTTCTCGTTATTGAATATTTCATGCAAAAAGAAAGAAAACTTCAGGTGGTCAGACACTTTTTGTTCTTCCCCTCCTAACAGTCGGCTCACATTCTACTGGCGGAACCTCCACTTTGGCCAGGAAGAGTTGCTGGCTGCTCTTGCACTCCAGCACGGACCGCTCTTCAGTGACTCAGTACTGAAGATTCGGTGTGCTTGTCCCCCTATTTATACCCTATACCCCATGTTCTCCCTATGATTTGCAACAGTAATAAAGTGTGGCACTGCTGTAAACCAAAGTAACCAGCGTATTACAGCAATACATCGCAAAACTGTATCCCATGACTTCATGTGGGTTACAACTGCATGCCTAAGGGACTAATTCATGATATAATCAAAGCAAAACACTGCTGGCACACTGTAATCTTACATGCAGGTGTAAAATACAATAGGGTTAATAACTTAATAACTGTTGTAATTGTTAATACAACGGCAAATACACCTGTATTTCTCCTGTTTATCACCTAATAATGTGATTGTTGAAGTGCTTTTTCACAACATGCAGTAGGGTTGTAAATGTAAAAGCATGTAAAGTAGTTTTAAAACATCGGCCACATGAATCAAATAGAGCTATTATGAGAGCCTACACGAATCAGATGATTTCATATCCACAGATATACTGAAATAGTAGCGAACACATTAATAAACTGCATTGTGATCGGTATACTGTATAAATATACAGTATATACATTATTATACCATATGGTTTTAAAGCCTCTACAAAACAGTATGTGTGAAATGTATTTTTAATCAAAATTTAAATTATTTCCTTGGTTACTTTTTGCTGAAATATGTATTAAGACAAAGATCATTTTAATGTGGATGTATACCTGAAAGAATCACATTGCATTCACAACAAGCTATAATAATAAACTATTGTTGTATATCCAACTGATTTTTTTTGTAAAATAGCCCTACTTTCTCTTCTAAATTATTGTAATATTTAACATATTATAACATACAGTATAAATTAATAAAAGTTTAAACAGTTATTGGAATGAAATTGTCCCAAGAGGCTCACCATTGACCAGGATTCCAAACTAGGCTTTTTCTGGCAACAGCCCAAATTCTTCCGCAAGCCATTCAATGCGCCACCTTTTACAAAATAGTGCAGTCCCACAAGAAAATGTTTTTTAAAAAGCACAGTGTGGTGTGTACACTCCAATCTGTCGCATTATTTGGCATGTATTCTGAATGGCTGGATCTGTGTACACTGCACTTCTTCTAGATCATTACAGGCATCTCTCCACTTCACTCTGTGGCAGTACTGCCTTCACTCACAACTCCACTTTTCATCAGTTCAACCTACAATTCTAGACCCCTTCCTACTCTTTGCCTCCGACAACATCTGTTGTCTAGCACTTGACTGCCCTCAATCCACACTGCTGAAGCAGCTTGCACTGTCCATGCAGTCTGCACCACCAGTGCAGACTGTGCTGCTTCTCCAGTGTTTGTTCCACAGTGCTGCTGCTCCAGTCTTTACCATTCGCTGCTATTCCAGTCCTGCCCTCCAGTTCTGTGTCCCCAACAGCTCTGCTCCCCCAGCATTTGCATGGCACTGCAGTTATCTTCACACTACACCACTGTTCTGGTTCCAGTCTCTGTCTTGAAATCCTGGACTCTTCTCCAAATGTGCTCTTCTTAGCCACTTACCTGTCTCTGCTTTAGGGCAGCCTATGCCCCCCAGGACCCAGAGCTCTCTTTCACCTGCCTTCATCCTTATGCTGAAGCAACCCGTCTCCCATGCTATCGATCCATCCTGGATGCTGACCCTCAGTTCAGCTGCCCTCATCTTTGTCATTTTCTTGGCATCTATTGGGGGCAGCCTCCTTTATCCAGCACCTCAGGGCTCGTCTTAAATTATCTTCTTTCTGCACTCCCAGGCTGCCTTACACCATTCTCTATCTGTTCTTTTCCTTTTTCTTTTCCCAGGCCACGTTCCAGGGTCCCAGTGGACCATTCCTTTTTCTGAGATTCCGTTCCCTGGACTCTGTCTGGGTGCTCTGACTAGGACTTTGGTGTCTGGGGGATTCCAGGAGTAAAGGGAGACCCTTTTGAAGCAAAGAGCCATCCTTAGCAGATGTCTCTGTCAGCCTGATCCAGAAGGTGCCAGGGATTCCAATTCCCTCCATACAGACTACCCCGAAACGAGTTTCCTACCCGGCCCGGAGGTCACACCTCTTCTCTCTCTCATGCCTACTGGACAGAGCATGGTTTTAGACCTGAGTGGCTCTCCCTTTTCTTCTTCCTTTTTCCCTCCTTTTCCTCTGGAGCTTGGCACGAGGTCCAGTCATTGATGGGCTTATCATTTTGTGCAATGATTAAGTGCCCTGTGCCAGGTTTCCCAATTTTCATGTTGTTTAGGCAGGAATATCTAAACTCCACCATCCAGTATGTAATTCCTGTATCACATCCCTAATCTTTCACTTTCCTTATGGTGATCTTGAAAGCTTGTTACCCTCATATCCTCAAATTCAGGTCTTGTTGGACATCTCTGTATCTCTCCAGGCCTCAGAGCTAGGATTTGGACTTATCTCACCAACTCTGTAATGATCTTCATTTAGGATATTGTGTTCAGTTTATTTGTAACAATTATTTGTGACCTTAAGAATTCAGAGCTGCATAACAGGAATGATTTGTAGTTTGTTTGGATATTAATAAACAGGTAGGTTAAAGAAGATACATTTCTTTAGTGTAGAATAAAGGAGACCAAGACTTGAAAGGAGTATATCAAACCTGAAGGGGTTTAAACAATGTTAGCCCAGTGGCCTAATTCAGACTTCAATAGAGAAATGGATCAGAAATGGAATCTAATTGTGAATTTATTTAGGACAGAGAATAGGAAACACACATACTTGTACAAAAAAGAATAACTACTGTACAACTGGTTGCTCAGCATGTGGTTCAAGCCCAAACTCTGAAGCCTTTAAAGTAGTAATTGGACAGATGTTTACATTCATTTAGCTATTTAACTACCAAAAGAACATGATGGGCTGGATGGGCCCTTATGACTGAGATATCCATAGGTGGCACTCAGTTCCAAGAAACTATTATGTAGATTGTAGATATTCTGTAGGAAATGTAGATTAAATTTTCTTAAAACGAAAATGCCCTATTGTTGACAGGTGTTTTTATCTTCAGATGTTCAGTTATCCCAGTTCTACATATATTATCTTTTTTAAAATGGTAGAATCATAACACTGTATTTTGAACATTTGCTGTCATTTTTCTGATGAAAAAATATTTATATATTTTTATATTTTTATGTGTTTGTGAAATGAAGCCTATTCTTACCTGTCTGATGACCAAAGACGGACCATTTTATTGCAGCTAAAAGACAGAAAGGAATTGATGAGATAGGTACCATAATTTTATGTTTCGTTTCTCTGTAGTCCTATAAAAATATATGATGTTTTGATTAGTGTTAAAGTTTACTGAAAGTGTAGAGGAATGACAAACATACAATAGATGCTTTCTTAATAAGGTTGTCAAGTACTAGGGTGAATAGGTCAACAGACAACTTCCAGTCTGGATAATCTACGTTCAGAAAAAATGCAAAATTCAGTGTTACTGCACTTACACTTGAGGAAATGCATGTGAAGTACTGTAAGGTGGCTATGAAGCTATCATCTTGGCTAAAAACGTAGGACCTGTGGTGTGGCCTTAGGCCAAAGATGGCTGCTTGCTTACTGGGGGAAAGTTGCAGCATAACTTCAGAGGGAGTAAGATTCCACATGAGGAAAATGAGCTGTCAGAAAATGCTCTGCACGAAATTACCTACTCCTCTGAGCTAATTGAGATGCTTATAATACCTGTTCAGAGGATCACTGGAGATGGTTCTGTATATGTGCTGTCTCTTCAAAAGAGAGACAGGTACCTTGAAGATGGTATATTCCTTTAGCCCTATTGAGGCCGTCTCACTTCTGAATAATTTCTCACTATTTATATATATATATTTACTGTAAATATAAAATCTAGTTGTATATACAATGCTACCAGATTAATTCATCCCTCCATTGAAAAAGGAACAAAAACCATTACATAACATGAACATATATAATGTATTTTGTTTTGTCAAGTATATGAATAAATCTCAAGGCTATATATACTGTAGGTTAGAGTATTGCGTTAGAATTAAATACCCACAATATGAAGTAAATGTATATAAACATTTCAGTTCCAGTCGATGATCTGTGATTCCAAGATTATTTAGGCATAAAAGGTGAATGTGGTGCCTGTTTCTATCAAGAGTATTGAGTGTACAGGGCAAAACCATATTTATAGGATCTCCCATGGAGGCAACAAAAGATGTCAAGTAGCTTCTGGTAAGAGTCAAATAACAAATCTTTGTAGATTTGTAGGCCACTGTAGTCTGCAGAATAGTTTTCCCCAAGGACTGAATTGAGAAAAGCCTTCCTTTGAATTGGCTCTTGTAAATATAAGACACCTTATCATTGCATCATCATCAAATCACTTTAGCAGGTTAATGAAGCCATGGCTCTAAAGTTATGCCAGTGACTGTTGCTAATGCTAGTGGTGAAACCCTGCACAAAGCATAAGTACCAAATACAGTGCATCATAAATAAGTGACTTTAATCTCCATAACTGGATTCGTAGATTTCAGACCTAGCAATAACTCTTTCTTAGAGTTAGATTAGTTTAGTTATGAGTTAGATTTAATTAAAATCAGATGCCTCATCTTTTCAAAGAAACAAGAAAGAGGTGAGAAAACTGGGCTTGATGAACTTCATCGAGATAGATAACTGAAGATAAATATAAGGACAGAAAGAAAGTGTTTTTAGGAAACATGAAAATAATAAGTTACTGTTCCTGCCAATTTACATCTATCTGTCCTTCATTTTAGTATAGTTAGTATTTCAGCCATATTTGCGCAACTGCCAAAAAGACCAGTAAACACTAGTGAAATTGATGTAAATCAGATGCTTAATGACAGATACTTTCCTCAGATAGGTGCAGAGCAAAAACAGTCAACCAGCAGACCACATTTAACAGTCACAGATCTGAACTGGACTGTTAAATGTTTTTGAATAGACCAGAGAATGTCTATATTTACTTATTACAATAATGACAAATGTGTACAGTATAATATTAGAAAACATGTGTGGCTGTATTACAGCTTCAGACACAGAAGATAGTAGTCAAGATGAAATGATGGCACAAGATGTTATCAAGCAGTTGCAAAGAAACTAAAAAATAAGAAATGTGAAGCTGTGAAGCAGCACTATTCACAACCATGCTTCCTCTTTGATAAGAAATGATATGAACTTATTAATTGAGAATTAGTTAACGTATGATTTAGATCATTATTCTACTCACAAGAAGCTTGTAGCAATGATTAGAGCCTTGATTCTTAATTCTTACTAGTAAGCAGCATATTTTCAAACAGACATTCTTTTTGAATGCATATATATATACTGTATAGTATTTATTCCTGAAACATTTAAAAGTATTTATGCAGGTTAAAAATTCCTTGTCTTCAGTAGAAGATTGAATAATGCTAAAATACTATATATATATATGATGGTTTGATATGATCTTTGTCCCAGCTGATCATGGGAAATGTAATTACAATAAGTGTTACAATAAGTGTTAAAACATTTCCGAAGTAACCACAGCACCAACAATAGCTCACATTTAATTTAAAAAGTAGATGTTGTTCCATGGTCTTTGCATTTGACCATAATTCTTAATAAGGTCATAATTTGAAATATTTCATATTTTCATTTTTATATTTAAAATATTAAAAATAACCAACATTTGAAAAGTTATTTTTACAGTGTTTTGGACTTCGAAGGTCAATAAGACAATTTTCAAGAAGAATGGAAAATAAGAGGCAGCCGAGTGTGTAAATGCTGGCAATTAGAACAGAGATTGGCAGTCCTAAGGAAAAAAATCTATTTCTTAATAATTACCTGGAATTTTAATATTTAATAATTTGGTGCACAGAGATCTAGTGTATTTTATACAGCTAAGCCTCTGTTTAAGCACAATTGTTTTGAGAAAAAACGCTTAGTCCATCTCTGAACGTGAATTTCTTTGAAACCAGTTCAAGCCGATATACCAATTATCTACCAAGGTGTTACGGTCACCATCCTCTCCTCCAGGGGGCGCTCCAACCTCCTCGTGTTAGTCCTTTTAATCATTACTGGCATTATTTCCTTGTGTGCCTTGTTTTAGTTTTCCTATTTAAAGGTACCCCTTCCTGTCTGGGGCTCAGCTTTGGTACATGGTAGCTCGATGGCCTGCCTAGTACCAGGTCGCCCCACATCCGTGACCTGAGGGCACAGGCCTATTTACACTCCCCGACCCACTGAGCTCAGGGTTTGGAAAGGAATTTCCTGGAATCTCATCTCGTCTCATCTGTGTTCCTGTTTGTCTGTGTCTCCTGATGGATCTCCTGGCAATGGACTTATGGACTGCTTCCTGACTTCCCTTTGAACTTCCTTGGATATGTTTGCCTACAGATTATCCACACACGTCTGCATGAACTTCCCTACTTCACTGTGAGAACCAATAAACCCCATGTCTCTTTCTTGAACCCTGTCCATGGCCCCTTTTCAGGAATTGCCGTCTCGCCTAGGGTCTAAAACATCACTATGGAGACTCCTTTTAAGACATTTCCAGAATAAAGGAGTTTATTCATGATCCATTATTCATTTTATATATAAAAGTATTCACTTATCATTAGAAAGGGGCAGACCTTTATCAAATCTAACTACTGCATTTGATTACATTAAAATTCTTCACAACTTATAAAAGATTGTGATCAATGTCTCACAATACTGAAAATGTTTGTTATTTTTCATGAGAAAAAAATAAACTTTTAATACCATATTAAACTACAAAGCTGCAAGCATTTTGCAGGCTTTCCATGCAAGCTCCTAACCACGTATTTAAAAAATGGATTTTGCTGTGACTATAGTAATCTACAATGGTACTGTCTCTAAGCACCTACACTAGCTAACTTTACCAAATAATTAATATGTGATGCATTATTGTTTCTTCATATAAACAATCCCCATTTTATGCTTGTCAGATTTAGTCAACAATTAAATTTATAATGCACAAAAGAGTACTGAAACTGAAACAAGTTGGAACAATTTCTTTGTTTAATTATTTTGAATTAAAAAAATCTTTTCACTTAAAATGATTAAAAAGTAAAACGCTCCTCTATTTTCATTGCTTTCTCTCCTCTTTCCCTCTTCCTTTGCTAACTTTCTTAAATGACTTTGCAAGAAAGTTTGAAGAATACTTCTCATGTGATTTTTTTCAATTGTCCCATTGCTTTACTCAATGCATGAATGATACTTTCAATAAAACACTATTTTGATAAAATAACATAAACCAGTAATATATAAAACTAGAAGACAATACAACCATGCTGGTGCTTTATTGACATTTTCCCCTTACCCCTTAATTCTGACAGAATTAATTATTATTACAGTATAACACAAGTTTTCCATAAATTTGGTGTTAATCAGGAATACAACTATCATATTATAGTAGAACTGATTGTAATTTGAGTTAGTTTTTAATATTAAAGTTCCCCAATAATGTAAAAAATGGGGAAAAAAAATATAGGAACATTCATTATTGAATATGTTTAGTTCACATACTGTAGCTTTACATTTCTTATCTGTGGCAATTGTTGGAAAATTTGACATATAATTTATTCTATTTATCAGTTTTTAAAACTCTTGTTTTTAAAATACATCGCCAGTAACTTAAGTAACTTTAGTAACTTAAAAAAACAGAATTGTGAATATCCATATACATAACATTCTAAATTACATTCAGAATGAAAATAATTACAAAATTCTCATACTTACAAATTAAAATAAAGAAATGACAGAGCTTCATGCTGTTTTAAACCTGTATTAATTGTCTACCTATAAGATTCACCTCAATTTCCTCAATGCTTTTATGAGACAGTGAGTTTTGTCACCCAACATGCCTTAAAGGGAAGTACACTCATTGCTTTAGCTGTATGCATCCATGTAGCTGATTTGTTGATATGAGCATATCCACATACTCATATTGTTTATTATTTTGTATTTATCTTTTAAATATACACATTAAATAGTTTGAAACTTAGAGGTCTTTTAAATGAACAAGGGCTGTTAAAATATTAATTTTCTTCAGAAAAGTAAAATCAATATATTTGAAATGGAAAAGTATGGTGAAAGAACAAATTTCTGAACAGTAACTAGCTAAGAGGAAGCGCTGACAGTGAACTAGATAATTCTGAACTGCTGTATACTGTAAAACATGAATTCTTTAATCTTATAATCAACAATACAGTATCAGTATTAACAGTATATACAACATATAGTACATACTGTAAAGTCAGTATCAAGATTTTGTAAATTGTAAATATTTAAATATTCATTGAACTTGTTGAAAACACAACATTTTTACTTAACAGTTACATTTTAGACAGCATGTACTTGCATTTTTTACTTGTACTTTACAAATATAATAATAATAATAATAATAATAATAATAATAATAATAATAATAATAATAATAGCCAAGAATGAAATTGAAACCACTCTGGCAGCACAATGGCATAAGAAGAGCATAAGAAGATAAATATGAGGGGCTGCTATTCTGTATGTTAGATACTTTCCTAGTAAATTTAATGTATGTGTTTTCAGAAAATGTTTCAGATAGTGAGATATTACTGACTTCACATAATTGAATAGTGTTTGAAATGTCTTCATTATAGTGTGTGCTTGACATAACTGGATAATGAGGACAGAAATTAAAAGTAACAGTCTTGCAGAAACCCACAGCAGAGTGGTCAGCTCTTTTTTCTGTTTAGTGGAAATGAGCAGCCTATATACTCCTTCCTGAGGAAATGCTGGTGAGCGTCTCTGAACTTTAGTCATTACTTCTACAGTACTCAGAGCTAAACGTTGAAATTGTTTAAACGTTGAAGTAGCATGGTAGTATTTTAGTGCATTGAGAACCAGTACATCAGATATTCAACATTACTTTTTTTAAGATTTTAGTTTGAACATTTTTGGGCACTCTGCTCTAGATTAGTTTTACGTTACAGAAATAACAATGTAAATGGATTAAAATTTCAATGGAAGAAATGATTCTGTCTCTGATTCTTTTATTTTTAATCATGATTATATTTAGCAATACTATAAGGTAATAACAGTATCTGTAGTAAAACAGTATGTCTAGTATATGCTGAAGAATAAATAGTTTTGGATTTCTTTTTTATTTTTAGTGCATTAATGCACATTTGTTTTAAGCCCTAGTATCAATGAGAAATGTGCTGAAATAAAGGATGATAAATTATGTTCAATTGAAATCCATTGGGTAATGATATTGCATTAGGATAGGATAGTGTACATGAATAGCATTATTTCAGTCATAAAAATATATTTTAATAAACAGCGTGCCTAATAAAACAGAACTTCTCTCCAATCTGGTGCCATATAGCACACGTCTGGAACAGATCTACTGCTGTTCTAACTAGCAATGAACGATAAGTTGGTCTATATTAAAAAGTGCTCCTTGAAGAATGTAGGAGATAGAAAACAGCACATTTGGGACTTTTTTACTTTATTATTCCCCACTTCTGATGGTGTATATTTGTCACTGCTGTTTTACAATTTTATTAACTGCCTGTCTTTTAATGGTAAAATTGCTGAAATTCTGGTATAGTCTGCAGAATATTAGATCTACAGTTCTACAAACTATAAATGGGAAAACCAGGATATTTGCACAAATAATAATAGTTTTCATCTTCTCCATACAATCATGATTAACATAAATTAATGGTTGGCAGGGTTTGTACGACAGGTTGCCACACATGAGGTATAACACATGCTAAACCGGAACATTTCTTTACTGTCAATGCCCTGAGTCTCAAGTCAAATTCAGAGCTGGTGGATATCAAGGTGCCGATACATAAACTGTACAGTATATAATAAGTGACACACAGTAATTTCTTGTTTATCCATTTACAGTATTTTCTGCTACAGTGCTGTGATCCTACTAATAATGTTGGCTGTAAATGAGAAGTTTTTTCAGTTGATCAATTTATTTAGTTCATTCACTTTTCTGGCTGATTTTTTCAGTACAGTGTGTGCACTTTCAAATACACATGTCAACATCTTGATTAATTAATGATAAAGGAAATGAATTTGATCATTTGCAAGCAAAACCACAGATTTGATATTGTACATGCCTACATGCTGGTCAGTTGTGAGTTTACTGTAAGGTGGTAACTTTTTTAGAAAATAAAGATACAGTTGAGATATATACAATTTGCTTTATTAGAGGTGTGACTTAAATTACAAAGTTTTGCTCAAAGCTGTAAATAGTTGTATTCAAGAATCAAGAATAGAAACTATTATGTGCTTAAACTATGTACATAAACAAATTACACAGAAGAAATAATTACAAAATCAATTTAGCTCAGACACTAAGAATACACTTTAACAACGGTCTGCAGTTAATTACGTACATGTACTGGTCAAGCCGCTCAGGGTTGAAAAAGCAGAACCAAATTTAGGACATAGGACAGTTTCAGTTGTACGGTTACCCACTTAATCTTCGTTCTGTTTCTCAGAACAACCTAAACCACTAACTTACACATGAGCAGAAATATGGAGAATTAAAACATTAATATAAACATGATGAACATGAAGATGTTAATATTCCCACAGTTTATGGTAGAGAATGTGATCAATCTATAATTTCCATTTTTTTTCTTTTTGCACACCAAACATTTTCTACCCTATTACCCATTAGAATGTTTGAAAGAAAAAAAGTATTCGGATTCTAGCTTGATGTGAAGACTTTGATCAACAGGCTACAGTTGAAAACTACAGTACTTCCATTTCCAGGCTGCAATGGAGCAAGAAGAACTTAATTTTGTCCAGTGATGTTTATACTGTGAAATCTTTCTTGTCTGTTAGGAAAATAAAAGAAACAATAGGTGGGAATGGTTGATTATTAAAATAATGGGAAATCTGATGGACAAAGGGGAAGCATGGAAGACAATAATACTTTGTATTGTAAAGATTTACAGATTTCTGTTGGTTATTGAGTGTTGGGAGAATATGTGAGTTCAGTCCTGTCTGGATTCTAGCCAGCAGCCATGTTACTCTGCAACTTACAATTAGCAACCCACTGAAGCTAAGCAGGTGTGTGCCTGGTCAGTACCTGGATGGGAGAGGCCAGCAGGGGGCGCTCACCCTGTGGTCCATGTGGGTCCTAATGCCCCAGTATGGTGACGGGGACACTATACTGTAAAAAAGTGCCGTCTTTCGGATGAAACGTAAAACCGAGGTCCTGTCTCTCTGTGGTCATTAAAAATCCCAGGGTGTTTCTTGAAAAGAGTAGGGGTGAAACCCCAGCATCCGACAGCAGGCGGAGCGACGCGCCAGTTGGAGTATTCTCGGTCGCATTTAATGGCAACGTCTGCTCAAAGATTTAGTTCAAACCACCAAATGGAGACGGGCATGCCGACAAGCGGACCCTGCTGATGCGGGATTGACGCTAGGATGAGAGAGTCCTGTCTGGATTCTCTAGCTCTCTCAAAGAGCATGAAGAGATGCTGCTTAGATTAATCTATGGAAGCCTGTTAGTGCCATGGAGAATAAAAATGCATTAGAACAAGGTAATAGTGCTTTTAAACAAGATAACATTGAGATAACATTTAATACTTATAACATTTTAAATGTGCTAATATTGCATTTAAATGCAATACATGGTTTGGTACAGTCTAAAATGTACTGCTAAATAAATAGAGGTTTCCTCATTAAAGGGCCTGTGTACTTAGTTTTCTAAATCCAGCCTATTGAAATGTCATTGTTACCCCACCCAATGCCCTGTCGCATTACAATGAAAATTGACAGGAAAAGGTTTGGGTGAGAAGCTGGGGGGTGCTCCTCTTCCTCTATTATTCAATTTTTTTTCCTATTATAAGCTATCCACTATAACAGTCATGTCTAAAGTTGTGAGTTCCCTTCACCCCCTCCTCCTACTCTTTCTTTCATATTGCTTTTGCATCCAGGTTCCCTCTGAAGTAAATCTCACTTCTCCAATCTCAGGTCAGCAGCACCACCTTGTTCCCTCCTGGAGAGGTTCTCACACTGTTCTAAGTAGTTTTAACCTACTAATTCTCCTCCTGTCGGTTCCCTGAGGAAGAGGTACACAAGACAGCAGCTCCCAAAGGGGTTCTCGGTGTTTCTGGGGACTTCACTTCTTTCTCAAGAGTCAATTAAATTCTTTCTCTCCATTCTCCACCCCTGGGGCAGCTGCTCTCAGAATTAACCCTCGGTCAAGAGGTACTTTCTTTCATGGAGTTCTTTCTTTTTCCCCCTTGAGGGATTTTTTCCCAGTCACGAGGCAGTGCCTTAAAAGTGACTTTCAGCAAGTTAGGGGTCTACCTTCTCCTTTGTATTCAGGGTCCGAGGCCAGTTATGAGTCAGCACCTCTCAAGTGACTCTCAGTAAATCACGGAAGTCTTCCTTTTCCTTATCTACCCCTGAGGGTCCAGCTCCCAGTCATGAGGCAGCACCTCTCGAGCAACTATCAGTGAGTCAGGGTGTCTTCATGCCCTGGGGGCTGCTGAGCCAGCCAACCCATTAGAACCAGCATGGTCCGACTGCTTCTTTTCTGTATTTTTCTAAACCCCTACTTCTTACCTTGAAATATTAATTAAATATAGTGCTAGTTTAACACCATTTCAGATAACAGTCTTAAATATACAAGCCTTTTTTCTTTCATTCTGATTTACAAAATACTATTTATATTACTAATAAGCATTTGCGGGTAGGCACATCCAGGAATAAACCTGCAGCCAGTCTGACAGGACAATAGCAAGAATATACAGTATATGCCCTTAAAAAAGATATACTGTATGCCACTGGTATTATAGTTTCC